CAGAGGTGAATGAGGCCAAACATGTGTGATTACGTATACGGCGCAGGGTCTGGTTAGTGAGTAAACGGCTAAGGAAAAAAAACTTCACGGAGCAGGAGATTGAGACCATTATGAACGAAGTGGGAAAAAGAATAAAGTCTTACTATTTGGAATTCTCAAAAGTGGCATCAAGGGGCTCAAAAAACAATATGGAAAGAATTGACAGCATCTGTAAACAGCGTGGGGCCTGCAACATGCACTCCTGAAGAGATGAGTTTATTCATGTTCGAAGAAAAATACGCTATATTATATCAAACAGCTGATATATTGGGCCAATAGTAAGAATTCATTAATTTATGCCACAAGTGAAAAAAAAAGGGAGCGACCTTAAAATGGTAACAATGGCGTTTAGCAGCTCATAGAAGAAGTGCTCAGCAGCGAAGGGGGAGGACCGCCAGACCAAAGCATCCAAAAGAAAATATAAAGAAAAAAAATGATTATGTATGTGATTATTATTTTAAAATGGCTGAATGAAGCCTGTCTGAGCTGTATAGGCCGAAGGCGGTGCTGGCCATGGTCTCTCATCCAGGGCTGCTCCACCAGTGGCACACTGTGGTCCTGTGCCTGTTGTGGAGAACCGAGCCAGGACCATGTGGCACACTTGTACCAGGAGGTACCAGAGCGTACCCCCTACATGTCCCAGAGCCTGATCAGACCCACGCAGCCACCACGGGGGCGTCTTTGCTTGGACCCGCATGAACCAAAGCCATTACGCACTGATTGTAGGTGATATAACAATCCACACATTTGTGAGAGACTAAGTTTGACATCTTGGAAGTTATTTAATAACACAAACTAGCCCTAACATAACATCGTCAAATTGCATATTTGTAATGTGAGAGGTGTGCCTATAATCTTGTCAGAGGGAATATGTAGATTTTTCTCCAAATCTTGTACTTCATGCGTGTTTTGGCGTGTTTTAATGAAGGTTGAAATGAGCGTACACATTTACACCACCTCCAGACCTGGTGTATATTCTGTGCGTATCGTACGCTCACGTCCAGATTGATAAATGCGGAAAAGTGTAAATATTTTTGCGTACGCCTCATTTACCCTGATTTGGCCGTACACAAGTTTCATACATGAGGCCCATTGTATCCAAACACATGATCTAAGAAAGTGATGTGTCCTGTAGATCTGACATTATTTGAGGGTTGGCCTCTAAGTTCGGATTTTAAGTGTAGACGTCTTTCATATTTACTTTATTTTGTTATGATTTGCCTCATGCATTTAATATGCCTCATCTACATGCATGAGGCATGATCTACATGCCTCATTCATGTAGATGACACTGCAGTTGGTGCTTTGGTCAAAAATGTTTTACTTTACTAGATAAAACCTTTATAATTTCAAACATGACTGTATAGGCTTGATAATCCTGAGTGAACCCCCTTTAGCTTGTTCTGGGCAATGAAATAACCTGTTTATTTCTGATTTAATGTTTTTTTTTTATAGAAAACATATGGAAGCCATGGTCTGAAGAGGAGGTTAAGGCAGTGGAAAGGACCCTGATGACTTTCATTCAAAATGGGAAAGTTCCTGGGAAGTCGCCCTGCACTGCCTGCCTTGAAGCTTCACCTGAGCAACTTAAAGATCGGACATGGTCAGGAATAAAATTCTATGTTAAAAATAGAATTTCTGCAATGCACAAGAAATGTGCTAAAAGAGTTTGACAGAGAAAGTTACACTGCGTTCAAAATCATTTAATAAAGTCAGAGACAGTTGGAGACAGACATTTAGAGACAGTTGGAGACAGAGACAGTTAGAGTCAGAGACAGTTAGAGTCAGAGACAGTTAGAGTCAGAGACATTTAGAGTCAGAGACATTTAGAGACATTTAGAGACATTTAGAGACCGAGACATTTAGAGGCAGTTTGAGACAGTTTGAGACATTTAGAGGCAGTTTGAGAAAGTTGGAGAAAGTTAAAGACAGAGACAGTTAGAGACAGTTAGAGACAGAGACAGTTAGAGACAGTTGGAGACAGTTGGAGACAGTAGGAGACAGTAGGAGACAGTAGGAGACAGTAGGAGACAGTAGGAGACAGTAGGAGACAGTAGGAGACAGTAGGAGACAGTAGGAGACAGTAGGAGACAGTAGAGACAGTAGAGACAGTAAGAGACAGTAAGAGACAGTAAGAGACAGTAAGAGACAGTAAGAGACAGTAAGAAGAGACAGTAAGAGACAGTAAGAGACAGTAAGAGACAGTAAGAGACAGTAAGAGACAGTAAGAGACAGTAAGAGACAGTAAGAGACAGTAAGAGACAGTAAGAGACAGTAAGAGACAGTAAGAGACAGTAAGAGACAGTAAGAGACAGTAAGAGACAGTAAGAGACAGTAAGAGACAGTAAGAGACAGTAAGAGACAGTAAGAGACAGTAAGAGACAGTAAGAGACAGTAAGAGACAGTAAGAGACAGTAAGAGACAGTAAGAGACAGTAAGAGACAGTAAGAGACAGTAAGAGACAGTAAGAGACAGTAAGAGACAGTAAGAGACAGTAAGAGACAGTAAGAGACAGTAAGAGACAGTAAGAGACAGTAAGAGACAGTAAGAGACAGTAAGAGACAGTAAGAGACAGTAAGAGACAGTAAGAGACAGTAAGAGACAGTAAGAGACAGTAAGAGACAGTAAGAGACAGTAAGAGACAGTAAGAGACAGTAAGAGACAGTAAGAGACAGTAAGAGACAGTAAGAGACAGTTAGAGACAGTTAGAGACAGTAAGAGACAGTAAGAGACAGTAGGAGACAGTAGGAGACAGTAGGAGACAGTAGGAGACAGTTGGAGACAGTTGGAGACAGTTGGAGACAGTTGGAGACAGTTGGAGACAGTTGGAGACAGTTGGAGACAGTTGGAGACAGTTGGAGACAGTTGGAGACAGTTGGAGACAGTTGGAGACAGTTGGAGACAGTTGGAGAAAGTTGGAGAAAGTTAGAGACACAGTTGGAGACAGTTGGAGACAGAGACCGTTACAGACAGTAGGAGAAAGTTGGAGAAAGTTAGAGACAGAGACAGTTAGCGACTGAGACTGTTGGAGACAGAGATATTTACAGACAGTTAGAGACAAAGAGTGCCAACAAAAATAGTTGTTCACGTTAAAGTTATTAAAGTCGTTATCCAAGGGCTACAGCCCGGAACGTTTTTTGTTGAATTAATTAAAAAAAAGCCCTTGACAAAATATGAAGACTGCATTTTTGTGTCATTATGAAGCGCTTCCTCAGGTCCTGCCCCACAACATCATGTGTTACAGATCCCGTCTCTTTTATATCGTTTCCTAATTCTGTGTCAATATGAGTTCAACACAGAGAACAGCAGCAGCACTAACACAGACCAGGGGCGCACGGTGCAGCTCCACACCATCTCCTCCCACCTGCTTTTATTTCACACTCACTGTTAAGGCGTAAGGTCCGGTCTCAGGTCCAGGACTGTTGAGTCAGTTGAGGTTATGTGGAACTTTGATGAAAATAACATGCACGTTTCTCATGACCATCAGAACAGATCAGAGGCTCTGGTAAAACCATGTGGCTGTCACCATTCCACTCAGGCCCTTCATTATACCAGGAATGACACAAAATCATCACCAACAACATGAAATCATGAACGTAAACTTTCAGCCTTCACTTAGAGCAGATGAGGATGACCGGCCCCGCCTGGAGCAGAGTTGAGGTTGCGAAGATTGTAATGTATGCTTCCATGACTGTCCTCTTTGGAGTGATTCTCATACTGTGGCGTTCGTACATGCCAGATATGGTGAAGGGTAAACATACTCACATGATTATACGAGAGAAGCAAGAGTCTGTAAGGTGTTTCTGAGATTCAACTCTTACAAAATGATGTAAAACACATTGTAACATGTTTTAATGGACAGCAAGAGGGTTGTTGTTGGTGTAATGTTGGTGACCTTTATCTTCAGCAAAATCTAGTTTAAAAAAAGATTAGTTAATCAAAAAAAGGCTATAGCCCAGAAATAAGGTGACCTTATGGGGCCCAGTGGTGGGGGGGGGCATTGGGTCCCACAAAGTTGTGTTTTGTCAACATGACCAAAATCCCTAGTAATACTGAGAGTGTTGTTAGTTGTGTTTGACAACTTTGTTGAAAAAAAAATATAATGATTTTAGGATTTAAAACCATGTCTCCAGCACCTTCAGAAAGGGCGGACCCCACAAAACCCAGACTTAATCCGTGTGTATCGAAAAACTAAAGTGAGAAGTGTGTTGGCAAAAAAAAAACATGATTTTAGAAGTTGAAACCATGTCTCTAGCTCATTTAGAAAGGGTGGATCCCAGAAGGCAGGTCCCTTTCATTGGACCCCACGATGTAGCAAAAACGGGTATATGTGTGTGTGTGTGTGTCTGTCTGTCTGTGTGTGTGTATGTGTGTGTATGAGAGGGAGAAGGCGAGTTTTTTTGTATAGAACAGTTCATAAGGAAACTCAACACAGGGCGTTAAAATCATAAATATCAAAAGTAAAGATACAAACCCTCAGTTGTGTGCGCAGCTAAACAGAAAGAGCCTGTCTCACATTCTGAGGAAGACTGTTCCAGATTCTGATGTAGATTGTGGATATAACCGGTCCTCATGAGCTCCCTCTGGTGAGTGAGAGGAGCTCGGAGTAGAGCCGCTGCAGACCAGGGGAAGACCCAGGACACAGAGGGACTGTGTTTCTGGGAAGGCCTCAGGATTCCCCCAGATGAGCTGCAGGAGGTGTGTGTGGAGAGGGAAGGATTAGCCTGTTTGCTGTATTTCAGTTGCAGTTCTGACCAGTTTTAGCATTTATTAAAAGTACAAACATTACTTTCTTTTAACGAATCTGGTGAAACATGTTTTGGGAGAATGTATCAGAATTCTATTAGTTTGCATGGGAGCAGTCAAAATGCAGGCTCTACTGTTAATGAAGTACACCAGCTTTGACAGATCCAGGGGCTGCACTCTCACCGTCCGCCGGCAGAGGGCGCTGTGTCAGGTCCATGCTGTGTCCGCGGCTGCAGTTTCCGCTCGCGTTACTTCCGAGTGAGAGAACGTGCAGATTCATAACAAAAGCATAGTTTCTGTTCCTTTGCAGTACAGACGTGAGAAAACAAAGTCACAGAGAGTTTTTACAGAGTTTCTCCTCCGCGGACACATGAGCAGCGTCAGAAGGTGAGGTTTACAGCCTCTGCAGCGACAGGGACCACGAAAGTCTGCGTCAAATATGTGGTGTATATGATATTTATTTAACTTATCAGATGTATGTTTTATGTTGTTTACAGCTGTGGTCCGTGCGAGTCTCACTAATGTTACTTTGGTTAAAACTTCCAATGTTGTCTCTGTGTCTCCTGCTGAAACACATATTTTTGAGCCAATCTTGTCTGTTCTACTTCTACCAGAACAAAACTGCACAATATACACAATGAATAAATATAAGAACATTTGCACGTCACTGTAACTGTGATAAATCTAGTTTTTATTGTTAGTTTTTACATGTCAGATCCACGTTTCAGACAGAAAAGGGACATTCTTACTCAGCCCAAAGGGACAACTAGTGACTCACAGGGACTCAAGTGAGAGACACGGGTACAATCAAAATATACAATATAAGTAACTGCCATGTTTCTTATCTATCTGTAAATCAGACATGTCCAAACTCTGCTCCCTCTGTTTCCTGTGGCCCTCTGCTGCCAACACAAAGATGCCATTGAGACACAGCTCCAACGATCCAGTCATGCGAGACCTTGTTGTAAATCTCAGACCCTCTGTTGTTGTTTACTGTCATTTGTTTTATGATTGTGTCGCAACCTTCCAAATATGCAGCTGCATCAAAGAGGACTTATCATAACCCATTTGAAATTCCAGAATCCAGTCAATCGAGTTTTTCAATCCAAGTTGTCGGCCCCAGGTCAAGTCTGAGGAGCTAAAGTGGCCCTAAAAAGTCATATGGACTGTATGTTTAAAGTTATAGAATGATCTGATAAGACAAATGGAGCATGTTCTGGTCTGATTCATTCATAACTTTTACGAGGCTTTAGTTTAGGGTAGAATAAAATGTTTTTTGGGAAAAAGTGAGACATTGTGTTTGTTGTTGTTCATGGTGCAGTCTGACTGTTGTTCATTATGTGTATAATGTGTGTGTTTAGTTTGTAGCAGACGAGGATGAGGAAGAGGAGCAGGCAGAAGAGGTCTCGTGAGACCAGCTCCGGGGTCTACAGGAGTCCGGCTTCATCCTTTGACAACGAGGAGCGGAGCAGTGAGGCGGCTGCAGAGACCCCCGGTGAGACTCAGTCATGTGACCTGTTTAAAAACACTTCTGTTCAGTATCGAGATATTCTGTGCTCTGCGTGAAATGGAGACAGTAGAGAAAAGTTAACTTTTGTGTTTTCCTCGAGTTTATTGTAGTCTACATTGTTACATCCACAAGGTGGCGCTGGTTTTGATGAATTCATTCAACAGTTAAAATGAAAACATCTTCATCACAATAACATAACATTATTTTATTTCACTGAATCATAAAACTGCAGGATAATGTCAGGTTTAATCCCAGTTTTAGTTCAGTGTTTGTGGGGTAAAAACAGTGAACTTAACCTGATGATCCTGGACACACACACATTGAACAACACTTTATGGACCAATCCTTCTTTCATCATTCTCTGATCTCAGATTCTACTGCTGTGATTTTGGGCCAAACAATATGAATAGTAATGAAAAGTGAAACAAGAGAAACAGTAGCTTCTCAGAAGACTATATTTCCTCTTCAAGTCCTGCCCCAGTCCCTTCAGACTCTGGAACCACAGAGACCCTCTGTGGCCGCAGAGACCCTCTGTGGCCGCAGAGACCCTCTGTGGCCGCAGAGACCCTCTGTGGCCGCAGAGACCCTCTGTGACCGCAGAGACCCTCTGTGACCGCAGAGACCCTCTGTGACCGCAGAGACCCTCTGTGACCGCAGAGACCCTCTGTGGCCGCAGAGACCCTCTGTGGCCGCAGAGACCCTCTGTGGCCGCAGAGACCCTCTGTGGCCGCAGAGACCCTGACCCTCTGTGTCCCTCAGGTCGGACCCCCTCTGCTCTGTGCCGTCTCTGTCATGGTAAGTTCTCGTCCCGGAGCCTGCGTGACGCCTTCAGCAGCTCGTGCCGAGACTCGGTGGACTCTGAGGAGCAGCGGTCGGTGCTGTTTCACTCAGACTTCCAGCGTCTGGTGGGAGTGAAGCTGAACCAGGACCCTCATCTGTCCAAGTTCATCTGTAAGAGCTGCCACTCCAAGTTCTACAAGTGCCACAGCATCCTGCTCCGCTTCCTCCAGAGGGTCAACCTGCCGCCGCTGGGGGCGGAGCCACGACGGTGAGTCCTCGGACCACCTCCGAGCGTTAGAATTCTGTTTAAATGTGTTTGTTTGTATTTGTTCATTCAGGAAGAAAACTAAAACTGCAGAACCTCCTGAACCTCGAGAAAGTGAGTCACATTTACTGTACCTTTATTCTCTTGTTAAACTAAATGTACTACTGATACTTCTACTGCAGTCGCTGCTGCTTCTGTTGTTATCATTTCAAACAGTTTAAACATGTTATTGTTGTAAAAACTAAAACCTCTTTAATTATTATTGATTTTTCCAAAGTCTCTGTTTATTAGAATAACTCACCGTGATATAAGTTTCCAAAGTCTCTGTGGTTTTCCTGGTGTCTGCTGCAGTGCCCTGGTGCTTCACCTCGGACCATCAGTGCCTCCACAGCCTGGTGTCGTGGGCGCACCATCACGCGGGCGCCTGCAGTTCCTGTCCCGCCCTGATGGAGGTGCTGGAGAGCCAGTGCAGGGGCTCGGTCAGGGCTCTGTGGGGCTGTGGGGACGGACACAGTTATGAGATGGACACCTTCTTCTCCTGTCCTGAACCAGAGGGGGACACACCATACACAGAGGACCAGGTGGACAGCTCCAACCACTGCACCAGCAACACTGAAGGTATGAGAGACAGGTTTCCCCCAAAGATCACATTCAACTGCAGTGATTGATCAAGAAGGTTCAAAGTTCACACACCCAGGAACCAAGTGGGGAACTATAACTGTTAAACTCTTAAACTCTTTCTCCTGCTACTGCATTACTACTACTGCTACTGCATTACTACTACTGCTACTGCATTACTACTACTACAGCTACTGCTACTACATTGCTACTGCTACTAAATTACTACTACTACTACTACTGCTACCAGGGCTGGACTGGCCATCGGGCGTACCGGGCAATGACCGAAGGGCCGATGCTCACATTTGGGCCGGTCTGTCTGCCTCATCCAAAAAACATGTTTGTGAAAAGTGTAAATCCGTTGAGAATTGTTCGAGGGGGGCGTGCGTGTCCGCGGGGCACCTGCTGCATGTACTTGAACGGGATTCCACCACCTCAGCGGCTGCAGTGTTCCCGGGCTGCTGCGGACGCTTTGTAATGAGCGGTTCCCGCATCCAGCGGCTCTGAGCTGGACGCGGGAGCCGCTCACAACACAACACGTTGAGCGCGTAGCCGCAACGTGACCATGTACCCAAGACCATAAACGCGCACAGGACCATGCATGTCTAAGCGTAGTCTGTGGACCCAATAAATACACCGCTGCAGAAAACAGTCCGTGTCTCCCCTCTCCTCGAAGCGCGACTAAATTAAAGCTTGGGTACCTACATTTTCCATTGCATCAAAAGTTCATGTTTGAGCCCAAAAGTAAAATGTTGTGAACAAATCAAACAGATTTAGTGACAGCCAATGGCTGACATTATGCATTTCAGACTTTTTTTGACCAATTCTCATCCCTGTAACAAACAATAGTATTGTCTGTGACACCTCCCTCACTCTGAGACATGTTTATTACTCTGTTTAATGTAGACTATTGCGTTTTATTTTATTGTTGAAACTGCAGACATCTTGATCCTCTACAGTATTTGCTTCCACATACTGTATAAACCAGGGGTCGGCTCTTTGTAGCTCCTCCAGGCTCCTGGAGCCTTTTAAAAAATGTCTGAAAATGGAGTGGGAGGCCTATATTTTATTTCTAGTTTGAATGTGGTTTCTGTAGGAGGAAAAACATTCTTGATGTTTTTAAATGCTGTGCATAAGTATTATTCAATTTCAAAATTTCTGTCTATGTAGTGCGTCATTTCCTGTGACGCGGCCGCTGCTGTAAACAAACCGGCGTGTGTGCATCATAGACTGTGTGTGCGCACGGATCCCAAAGATAAAGAGAGAAAGAGTCGATAAGACTGGACTAAGAATCAGAATGAACTTTTGCTTTCAGTCAATAAGGAAGGACTGCCTCATGTTTGTAACGAGAAGTTTTGTTGCAACACGAGGAACAATGAAGCTTTAAACACCGTTCACTGAAAGATTCATTCATCATAAAGTCAGAGCACCTATTTTCAGACTTCAAAAACCTTTGCAAAGACGGTGAAAGAAAAGGCCATTAAGGACATTCAGCTCCAGCAAACTTCAGCCTGTGATGGATATGAACAGACAGTGATGCAGGTGAACTCGGAGCCAAAAAGCAGATTTATTTACTGTATTTGTACAATTGCATGAAGGCAAAAAAAATGGAAGTTAAAGTTAAAGCAGAGTTGTCATGTGGTGCGTCATTCTCTCCAGGACACACTGCAATGAAAATACACATTTGATAATCATGAATGCTTATATTGTGTATTTGTAGCTAATATAGCTAATACAGCTGCAGCCTGTATTACCTTCATAAAAGCCTTTTACAAGGCTCCAGACACATGTTGTTTTTAGTTTTTTTGTCAAATATGGCTCTTTGAACCTTTTGAGTTGCCAACCCCTGGTATAAACAAACTTGTATAAAACGTGAAAAAACATGCCTGGGCTGCCAAGAAGGCAAAAATGCCCGAGCCGTTTTTTTGTCCCAGCCCTGACTGCTACTGCTACTACATTACTACTGCTACTACATTACTACTGCTACTACATTACTACTGCTACTACATTACTACTGCTACTACATTACTACTGCTACTACATTACTACTACTACTACAACTACTACTGCTACTACATTACTACTGCTACTACATTACTACTGCTACTACATTACTACTACTACTACAACTACTACTGCTACTACATTACTACTGCTACTACATTACTACTACTGCTACTACATTACTACTACTACAACTACTACTGCTACTACATTACTACTGCTACTACATTACTACTACAACTACTACTGCTACTACATTACTACTGCTACTACATTACTACTGCTACTACATTACTACTACTACTACAACTACTACTGCTACTACATTACTACTACTACTACTACAACTACTACTGCTACTACATTACTACTGCTACTACAACTACTACTGCTACTACATTACTACTGCTACTACATTACTACTACTACTACAACTACTACTACTACTACAACTACTACTGCTACTACATTACTACTGCTACTACAACTACTACTGCTACTACATTACTACTGCTACTACATTACTACTGCTACTACATTACTACTACTACTACTACTACTACTACTACAACTACTACTGCTACTACATTACTACTGCTACTACATTACTACTACAACTACTACTGCTACTACATTACTACTGCTACTACATTACTACTACTACATTACTACTACTACTACATTACTACTGCTACTACATTACTACTACTACAACTACTACTGCTACTACATTACTACTACTACTACTACTGCTACTACATTACTACTGCTACTACATTACTACTGCTACTACATTACTACTACTACTACAACTACTACTGCTACTACATTACTACTGCTACTACATTACTACTGCTACTACATTACTACTACTACTACAACTACTACTGCTACTACATTACTACTACTACAACTACTACTGCTACTACATTACTACTGCTACTACATTACTACTACAACTACTACTGCTACTACATTACTACTGCTACTACATTACTACTGCTACTACATTACTACTACTACTACAACTACTACTGCTACTACATTACTACTACTACTACTACAACTACTACTGCTACTACAACTACTACTGCTACTACATTACTACTACTACAACTACTACTGCTACTACATTACTACTGCTACTACATTACTACTACTACAACTACTACTGCTACTACATTACTACTACTGCTACTACGTTACTACTGCTACTACATTACTACTACTACAACTACTACTGCTACTACATTACTACTACTACGCATGGCGCCGTAAAGATGGCGCCGTGGCAAGAGCTCTGGTGTGTGTCGTCTTCTCTGTCTGGTGCACACCGGGGTAGTCTTGCACAGTTTTTCCTATGTGGTTTTACTGCAAATGGCAAATAAATGAATCTGAATCTACTACTACTACTACTGCTACTACATTACTACTACTACTACTGCTACTACATTACTACTACTACTGCTACTACATACTACTACAACTACTACTGCTACTACTACGGGCGGCAGTAGCTCAGTTGGTAGAGCGTTGGCCTTTGAGCCAGAAGGTCGTGGGTTCAAGCCCCGCTCAAGACTTTCACCATCGACTCCCACTGACTACTGTCGTTGTGTCCTTGGGCAAGACACTTAACCTCTGGAAACACCAGCCACAGTGGGGCGGCTGAGGCTGTAAAGTGCCAAACTGCTGTTGTGTCCTTAGGCAAGACACTTCACCCCCATTGCCTAGAATGAGTCTGGTGTGGTGGTCAGAGGGGCCGATGCCGCATACTGGTTGCCTCGCTTCTGTCAGTGTGCCCCAGGGCAGCTGTGGCTACAGTAGTAGTTTATCACCACCGTGTATGGAGTGAATGAATAATGACACATGTGAAGCGTCTTTGAGTGTCCAAAAAAGCGCTATATAAAACCGATGCATTATTATTATTATTACTACTGCTACTACATTACTACTACTACTACTGCTACTACATTACTACTACTACTGCTACTACATTACTACTACAACTACTACTGCTACTACTACGGGCGGCAGTAGCTCAGTTGGTAGAGCGTTGGCCTTTGAGCCAGAAGGTCGTGGGTTCAAGCCCCGCTCAAGACTTTCACCATCGACTCCCACTGACTACTGTCGTTGTGTCCTTGGGCAAGACACTTAACCTCTGGAAACACCAGCCACAGTGGGGCGGCTGAGGCTGTAAAGTGCCAAACTGCTGTTGTGTCCTTAGGCAAGACACTTCACCCCCATTGCCTAGAATGAGTCTGGTGTGGTGGTCAGAGGGGCCGATGCCGCATACTGGTTGCCTCGCTTCTGTCAGTGTGCCCCAGGGCAGCTGTGGCTACAGTAGTAGTTTATCACCACCGTGTATGGAGTGAATGAATAATGACACATGTGAAGCGTCTTTGAGTGTCCAAAAAAGCGCTATATAAAACCGATGCATCATTATTATTATTATTATTACTACTGCTACTACATTACTACTACTGCTACTACTACCTTACTACTAGTACTACTGCTACTACATTACTACTTCCTTACTATTACTACCTCACTACTACTACCTTTCTACTACTACTGCTTCCCCTTAATCCATTTCTGGGTCAGTAAAGATCCTAAACTGTAGCCTGGTCTTACCACACCATCGTACATGTAAGGAAATAATAATTAACCGGAGTTTACGGTTGGCTAAGGCCAGGCTAAAGTGCTAATGTCGGGTCCTGGTCCTCTGTTTAGCGACCGCAGATCTGTCGGAGCCAGAGGAGGCCCCGCTCTTCTCTCTGCCTCAGTCTGAAGAAGGTGATGAAGAGGAGCTGTGTGAGCGGTGAGTTCATCTAAATCCTGCTGTGACTGCATTGATACGTCAGTGTGCCCCAGGGCAGCTGTGGCTACAGTAGTAGTTTATCTCCAACGTGTTTGGAGTGACTGAATAAAGATCTTAGTGTCCGTATAAAACTTATTTTTATTATTATTATACATATTGTATTATGGAGAGCAGCTTCAGTGACAGACTTATCCACCCTCAATGTTTGAAGGAGAGGTTACCCGGGTCTTTCCTTCCTGCTGCTGTCAGACTGTACAATGAGAACAGTAAATAGTAAATACTGCAATTTCAGAATGTCCACTGAAGGTCATTTTACTTTTTCAGAAATGTGACCGGAGACGAGGCCGAGGAGAACGCTCTGGCTCCAGACGATGAGCTGTTTAAGCCTTATCCCAACAAGAGGTGAGACCAGAGAGAGAGAGACCAGAGAGAGAGAGACCAGAGAGAGAGAGACCAGAGAGAGAGAGACCAGAGAGAGAGTGACCAGAGAGAGAGTGACCAGAGAGAGAGTGACCAGAGAGAGAGTGACCAGAGAGAGAGTGACCAGAGAGAGAGAGGCCAGAGAGAGACCAGAGAGAGAGTGACCAGAGAGAGACCAGAGAGAGAGTGACCAGAGAGAGAGTGACCAGAGAGAGAGTGACCAGAGAGAGTGACCAGAGAGAGTGACCAGAGAGAGAGTGACCAGAGAGAGTGACCAGAGAGAGAGACCAGAGAGAGAGTGACCAGAGAGAGACCAGAGAGAGTGACCAGAGAGAGTGACCAGAGAGAGAGTGACCAGAGAGAGTGACCAGAGAGAGTGACCAGAGAGAGAGGCCAGAGAGAGAGAGGCCAGAGAGTGTGACCAGAGAGAGAGAGACCAGAGAGAGAGAGACCAGAGAGAGGGACCAGAGAGAGAGTGACCAGAGAGAGAGTGACCAGAGAGAGAGTGACCAGAGAGAGAGTGACCAGAGAGAGAGTGACCAGAGAGAGAGTGACCAGAGAGAGTGACCAGAGAGAGAGTGACCAGAGAGAGAGTGACCAGAGAGAGAGTGACCAGAGAGAGAGTGACCAGAGAGAGAGTGACCAGAGAGAGAGTGACCAGAGAGAGAGTGACCAGAGAGAGAGTGACCAGAGAGAGAGGGACCAGAGAGAGAGGGACCAGAGAGAGAGGGACCAGAGAGAGAGGGACCAGAGAGAGAGGGACCAGAGAGAGAGGGACCAGAGAGAGAGGGACCAGAGAGAGAGGGACCAGAGAGAGAGGGACCAGAGAGAGAGGGACCAGAGAGAGAGGGACCAGAGAGAGAGTGACCAGAGAGAGAGACCAGCGAGAGACCAAATAAAACCATTGAAAAACCGTTAATGACTCTTTCTATAATCCAGAGTCTCGAGGAAGAAGAAGCAGAGCCAGAGTTCTCCTGAGGATCCTCCGGTCCGGAACAAACCTGGACCTAAACCCGGCTGGAAAAACAAGATAAAGATCAAAGGGTACTTTATAGTCCACATAGTATAAGTCATGGTTTTATTTGGCTCATAGTTTAATCCCTGACTCTGTGGTGTCAGGGAGGAGCTGCCCAGTATGTTCAAGTGTCCGTATATGGGATGTACCGCGGTCTACAGAGGAACGGACGGACTCAAGGTTAGTCACACAAGACAATTTTATTATTTTTGGCCTTTTAATGCAATACTGAGACTATTTCCTTTGGCATTTCGGATTCTACAGTGTGAAATTATTCTGAAATATCTGGAGAAACAAGGGAGTTGAAGGTTAAAAATGATCTGAAGCATGTAGTTCTGCACTTTCACCACCAGAGGGAGGTGTTTGTTCGCGTGAAATGAATGCACATGAATATTCTCGGTGCAATAACTGTGTAAATAGAGACAGAGCTGCGGTGGCGGCCGGCCAATAGAGGGCGCTAGGGCGCCGCCCCACCACTCACAACTTGCCATGTTACCTTGAATAAAACGTTAAAAAAAATAATAACATTAAAATATTTCGAAATTTATGTGTGTTTTATTTCAGATGTGGAAGAAATACTTTATAGTTTATGCTGAGTTGGATTGATTAAGCTCATCAGCGTTGTCTGTGTCGGACTGAGGACGTATTTCCGCCTCAGGGCGCAAAAGATTGCGCCCTGAGCCGTCTATGGACTCTCGTTAAAAGTTGTACATGCGCAGTAGCTCCTCTTCAATGCAAGAGATAAGACGATTTGGGGGCGCAGGAGAAGTGCGCCCTGAGGGGGCGGGATCGCCCGCGACCTGTACTGTCACTGTCTGTGACGTCCGTTTACAGGGATTGACAGGTCAAGCTGTGGGAGTTTGAGACGAACGTAAAGAGACGCAAAATGGAGAACGAGAAAAAGAATAATTCAGTTAGATCACTCAAAACAATACCGTTTGAGAGAAGATCATACCAGGAGAAGGTTGAGGTTAAAGAGCTTGGACCTGATCAGCCAAATATTACCATTAGTCAGCAGTCCAGCGACAGGGGGAGACGGTACACTCGTACTTTTTCCAGGACCTGGTTCAGCGCCAAATCTTGGCTAGCAGCATGTAGCGAGGCTAATGCTTTATTTTGCTTTCCATGCCTCTTGTTTCAAACATCAGGATCTGACCCAGCATGGATCAAGACAGGTATGACTGATCTGAAGCACTTTTTAGAAAAGGCAAAGAAGCATGAGCAGACTGGTATCCACATGCAAAATGCCCTCAAATTAGCTATGTTTGGGAAGATAAATATTTCATTCTCGTGTGAGGCTTCAGTCACAACAGTCAGTGTAAACTTACTTACTGCTGGTATATATTTAGTCATCATATTCATAGCCCCCGAAGTAGAAAATTCCACCAGCCGCCACTGCAGAGCTGAGAGGGAGAGAGCAGAACGAGAGAGCACAGGGAGAGAGACCAGAGCGAGAGATTTTGAAGCAAGCAAATTATATACCAACCCCATCTACACAATACACTGCTATAATACTATCATACAAAACACATAACTGTAGTGTATATACGACACTATCACCGATGGTAACACACAGAATGCATCGTCTCTAAATAATCAAATAAACGGAGATATATGATGTGTGTCTGTCCTGCAGAAACACATCCGTGAGCACCATGAGGAGGTGAAGGAGCGTCCCTGTCCTCATCCCGGCTGCAACAAGGTCTTCATGATCGACCGCTATCTGCAACGACACATCAAACTCATACACACAGGTACGGACTCTGAGGAGCACAGGGACTGGCCTCCTGCTGGTTCCAGAGTCAGGACTAAACATGAGGAGGCAGCTGTGATGAATGCCTCGTGTGTGGCTCTTGTTTTGTTCAGCACTTTGTTCCTTGTGTATGAACTGTGCTATACAAATAAACTTGCTTTGTTTGAATTTGAACAGAGGAAAGAAACTACATTTGTGACGAGTGCGGCCAGACCTTCAAACAGAGGAAGCATCTGTCGGTGCATCAGATGAGGCACTCGGGAGCAAAGCCGCTGCAGTGAGTCTCACATACAAACCCTGTGATAGGTCTGTGATCCGTCTGTGAGCCCTGTGATCCGTCTGTGAGCCCTGTGATCAGTCTGTGAGCCCTGTGATCCATCTGTGATCAGTCTGTGAGCCCTGTGATCCATCTGTGATCAGTCTGTGAGCCCTGTGATCCATCTGTGATCAGTCTGTGAGCCCTGTGATCCGTCTGTGAGCCCTGTGATCCGTCTGTGAGCCCTGTGATCCGTCTGTGAGCCCTGTGATCCGTCTGTGAGCCCTGTGATCCATCTGTGAGCCCTGTGATCCGTCTGTGAGCCCTGTGATCCGTCTGTGATCCATCTGTGATCAGTCTGTGAGCCCTGTGATCCGTCTGTGAGCCCTGTGATCCATCTGTGAGCCCTGTGATCCATCTGTGAGCCCTGTGATCCATCTGTGAGCCCTGTGATCCGTCTGTGAGCCCTGTGATCCGTCTGTGAGCCCTGTGATCCATCTGTGAGCCCTGTGATTATGTTTTAACCCTGACCATGTATTTGCTGGAATGCTAACTGCGATGCTAATGTTTTCCCATGTACAGTATTTGCTGGAATGCTAACTGCGATGCTAATGTTTCCCCATGTACAGTATTTGCTGGAATGCTAACTGCGATGCTAATGTTTCCCCATGTACAGTATTTGCTGGAATGCTAACTGGAATGGAACTGTGATGCTAACGGCTAACTTTCTGTGGTCAGGTGTGAGGTGTGTGGGTTCCAGTGTCGCCAGCGCGCCTCTCTGAAATACCACATGACCAAACACAAGGCGGAGGCCGAGCTGGAGTTCGCGTGTGTCATCTGCGAGAAACGCTTCGAGAAAGCTCACAACCTGAACGTCCACATGTCCATGGTCCATCCCCTCACTCAGCCAGACACCAGGAAGCAGCACCCCTCCCCCTACGCAGACCTGCACACCATCATCCCGAGCGGAGAGACCGTCCCACACCGGCAGGACAGATGACCAGGAGAGACAGACAGGTGACCAGGAGAGAGAGACAGATGACCAGGAGAGAGAGACAGATGACCAGGAGAGAGGGACCATCCCACACCAGCAGGACAGATGACCAGGAGAGAGAGAGAGAGACAGGTGACCGGGAGAGAGAGAGGGAGACAGGTGACCGGGAGAGAGAGAGACAGGTGACCGGGAGAGAGAGAGGGAGACAGGTGACCAGGAGAGAGAGAGGGAGACAGGTGACCGGGAGAGAGAGACAGATGACCAGGAGAGAGGGACCATCCCACACCAGCAGGACAGATGACCAGGAGAGAGAGAGAGAGACAGGTGACCGGGAGAGAGAGAGGGAGACAGGTGACCGGGAGAGAGAGAGACAGGTGACCGGGAGAGAGAGAGGGAGACAGGTGACCAGGAGAGAGAGAGGGAGACAGGTGACCGGGAGAGAGAGACAGGTGACCAGGAGAGAGAGAGGGAGACAGGTGACCGGGAGAGAGAGACAGGTGACCAGGAGAGAGAGAGGGAGACAGGTGACCGGGAGAGAGAGACAGGTGACCAGGAGAGAGAGGGAGACAGGTGACCGGGAGAGAGAGACAGGTGACCAGGAGAGAGAGAGGGAGACAGGTGACCGGGAGAGAGAGACAGGTGACCGGGAGAGAGAGACAGGTGACCAGGAGAGAGAGAGGGAGACAGGTGACCGGGAGAGAGAGAGGGAGACAGGTGACCGGGAGAGAGGGACAGGTGACCAGGAGAGAGGGACCATCCCACAAAAGCAGGACAGATGACCAGGAGAGACAGATGAGCAGGAGAGAGATGACCAGGACAAAGCACTGTCGTCTCGCTACAGATGACTTTGGGGGCAGAAGGCTCCTGATTGGTCAGTTGTGTGCGGCTGTATCTGGATTGGACAATGATACTACCAGAACCACCAACACCAGGATTACACTGCAGCAAACCAGGGATTTTTAAAAGCTCAAAATGGTGTTTACTTTTCAATGTAAGTGAACAGGAGCAAAACTTGGACCATGTGCACTGCGCTATCAGGCTTCACTGAGCTAGCATTGTTAGCACTGTTAGCATTGTTAGCCATTGGCCTCTTCAGTCTCTGGTGGTCAGCGTCCAGCCTAAACCTGACTGTTACTTTTCGTGGCCTATGTTTGAAATGTTCTGACAAAACGATTGCAGAGACGGTGAAAGTTGAAAAATAGTTTTATAAAAATTATTCACAAGTTACTTTTCTTCTTCCACCGCGAACGATTGGATTTTAATGATTCAAACATTGAGTGAATGTTACTGAACGATGCATTTTACTGTTGAATGTAACGGATTTTATTTATTCCTATTTAATTTGTGATGGACAGTTGTATGAATAAAGGTTTTTATGGCAGGTCTGTGTTCAGAGGAAGTCTGGGCTGAGGCTCCGACTGTGAAAGTGACTCAGGGCAGCTGCGACTTCAGGGTCCACATCAGCACAGAGCTCCTGCAGCTGGAGCACAGGGTTAGAGAGAGATTAGAGATTACAGAGATTATCCTATTCTCACAGGGTCAGAGCGACCTGTGGACCTTTGGTGATGATAATAAATAACAGCGCTTTTCTGGACACTCGGACGCTTCACTGAGTTTTTAAGATTGTTTTAATTTTTTTCTTATTTCCAGAAAACTGTTCTTGTTTAGATAAAATGTTTAGATAATAATATATATATATATATATATATATATATATATATATATTTTTTTTAAGAAATAAGTAAATACTTTAAATGTATTTAACTAGAATCAAGTCGTTTGGGGCGAGTGTTTTTTTCTTATTTTCAGAAATCTTATCCAGTCATATTTCCTTCTATTGGCATAATTTATCTTATTTTTAAGCAGTATTTTACTCATTTTCATATTTTTGATCCGGCTGTGACATCACTGACAACAGTCCTCCACAGGTGACACTGATCCTGAGTGAATAGAGCTTTCTTCTTCTTCTTCTTCTGGTCGTTACCTGTCGACTCTGGGACGAGGACAGCGCTGAACTCTGCGTCTGAGACAAACATCGTAACAACAGCTTTTTACTTTGGACCAAGAGATCTGCAGGATCCACCCGAGGATCCACCCGAGGATCCACCCGAGGATCCACCCGAGGATCCATCTGAGACATGAGAGAAAAATCAGCTTTTGGATTATTACAAACCTGCACAACTTTCACTTTAACCAACAGAAAACACAGGTGATTGGAAGAAACAGGTGCAAATATCACTCCAATAATCGCCACAGTGGTTCTCAGAGGGGGGCCAGGACCTAAAAGTGGGTCGTCAAAAATAATAGCTTAAGTGTCTCGCTCTGGGTCTCGCTCTGGGTCTCGCTCTGGGTCTCGCTCTGGGTCTCGCTCTGGGTCTCGCTCTGGGCTCTGCAACCGCACCTGCCCCGAGGACTGGTTTGACAGCTCTGCACTGAAGTTTGGATTTAGAGAAAACCGACTGATTTGAACCTTTGGAAGTGTGTGTGTGTAGTACCTGGTTGTGTGTAGTTGTGTGTGTGTGTGTGTAGTACCTGGTTGTGTGTAGTTGTGTGTCCGTCTACATAGAGACCCATGAGGCTGATGTAGCAGACCACAGCGGTGTGGATGAAACCAGGACAACACAACAATCTGGACCAGAACTCTGAGGTCTGAGGGGTCTGAGGTCTGACACACAACAGGCTGAGGAGAAAACACACAACTATGATACACAACAGGCTGAGGAGAAAACACACACACATTTCTACTGCTTCACACAAATCACATTCACAGAGAAAACACAAACACACACACACACACGCAGTCACGCACACACACAGACAGACACACACACCTGTAAAAGGCCCAGGGCTTGAGTCTATTGGCCTCCTCTGACAGTAACATTCGATAAACTCCTGACTCTGAAAAACATGATTCAGATGTGAGACTGATGAGACTGTAATGAGACTGTAATGAGACTGATGAGACTGTAATGAGACTGATCTGGTACCGTCAGCTCTGAAGATGCTCAGCCAATCAGGAGAGTCCACCAGCTCCACCAGCAGAGCAGCACAGGTACCAGCGGAGCACACGTCTCTCTGAGAAAAACCATGAAGACGTTCAATAGAAGAGAACGGAGACTGTGTCCTGGTCTCTTGTCCTGGTCTTCCCCTGGGACCAGGAGGAATCCCAAACAGATAAGCCACCTCCACTCCGAGCTCCTCTCTCTAAAGCCTTGTGTACACTCACGCGGCGCCGGTTACGTTGGACCTACGCAGCCACAGTGGCTCGTCCACTTGCGCGTTCCCCTTTCGTAGTTTTGAGGAGAATGTTGTAATCCCACAACCAACCACATGATGGCGATCTCACAGGAGATGCCTGAGAAACCAAAGCGGTCGCATTTACTCTGCTTCTTTAAGAAGAAGGTCCTTTATTTGTCCCACAATGGAGACATTTCAGTTTGATGCATACACATGAGTGTGGGCGGGTCAAAAGTGGCCAAAGTGATGTGCGCTGACATGCTGCAAGACCACCCTGGGCCTGTGGGGGTGGACTTAGAAGAATTAGCCAATGCTAACATATAGCATCTTCTTACCTCTTGAAAACGTCTTTACAGGATGGACCAAAAGTTGTCTCTTGGCCCAAAGCCATGTGTGTCAATGCTGAGGGGGGTGAATTTTTTTGGACCAGTCTAGTTTACTTGCTGTGAATTTTTGAAGTCACTCGAATAAGTGACTGGGGCTCGTGCAGCTGACGCATGCGCAGATGCGTTTTTTTTTTCAAATTTTCCAGCCCCCGCGGCCATTTTGAATCACTCCATGAGAGCCATGGATCTATAATAAGAACTGGATAGGGTATTACTAGCTTAGAGCTGTCCCACCCACGGGTACAGGGGGAGCCCGTGGTACTACAGACTTACTTCACGAGGGCTACCCAGAAAAAAGTCCCATAGAACTCAATGTAAATTAAAACAGCTCGACCTCACCTGACAGAGAACCTACAGCTTTCATAAAGATCGGATTTTGTGGGGATTTTAGTGTCCCTTGTCATCCTGAACTTTGAACTGTGCCCTGGCTCCGCTCTTCCGCTGCTCTGATGAGAAGCTCTGATTGGTCAGAGCATGTTTGGCGCGATGCATCATGGGAGATAATCCACTGCGCAGAACCGGGAGGACCAGGCGATGCCAAAATATAGGCGAGTTCAGCCTCCATGAAGTCCCATGTGCTACTGAGCACAAGGCATTCATTTGAATAGGGCGCCATCTTGGATCACCGGGGCTTGGTGAGAGCCCAATTTTTGGCCCATTAGAACGGCAGAGATAGGCATGACTACGTCTGTTAATATATACATGACATATGTCTATGACACACTTTCACACAAGCAGCAAACATCACTTCGGCGCTCCTTATAGGCAAAGTGGGTTAAGTGTCTTGCCCAAGGACACAACGACTGCAGACATCAGTGGGAGTCAGTGGAGAAGGTCTCAGGATGGGCTTGAACCCACGACCTTTGGGCCCACAGGGCAATGCTCTACCAACTGAGCTTCTTTCTCCTCTTCAGAACAAAAACCTTCCCAAACCAAACTGTTTGAGATCATTACATGTGTTAGGGTCTACAACTGAGGGATTTTATATTTTTTATCTGTCTTTTTAATGTACTGTGATTATGATTTTATTGCTATCTTTTTTTTTGTTCAGTACTTTGAATTGCCTTCTGTATGAATTGTGCTATACAAATAAACTTGCCTTGCCTAGATACATGTTGGATAAGCAACAGAGCTCCACAGTCTCCTGTAGATCAGGCTCTGAGCCCAAACTGCTTTTCCTTCAGTTCCTTCGAAGTCCCTCGTCCCTGCTCCTGCAGCCGCTCATGCTTCACAGAAAGTAATCACACACGGACCAATCACAGCGGAGCTTCTCTGCGGCGCCGGCTGCGTAGTTAGAAATGTTTGAGGGTGCGGGGCTACGTAAGGGTCTTGCGAAAATGACGTCACGTCAGCACCGTAAGCTCCGCGCGACTTTACACCAGGCTTAAGGGAGGTCCACTCTGAAGGAAACTCATGTGATGCTTGTATCGAGATCTAGTCCTTTCGGTCATTATCAAATAATCAGGACGAGTGGTGAGAGGGAATTAGAGCTCTGACTGTAGACGCTGCTCCCTCCTCAACACAACAGTCTAATAGAAGTAGAGTTGATGACATCATACATTACCTCAGGAAACAGTAGGAAGCTCAGGAAACGATTCACAAACAGAGAGAAGAGGAAAAGTATCACCTGGAAACACACAAGAGAAAAGACTGATACATGTGTGTACCTGTGTGTGTGTGTGTGTGTGTACCTGTGTGTGTGTGTACCTCTGTGTGTGTGTGTGTGTACCTCTGTGTGTCTGTGTGTGTACCTGTGTGTGTACCTGTGTGTGTACCTGTGTGTGTGTGTGTGTGTACCTGTGTGTGTGTGTGTACCTCTGTGTGTGTGTGTGTACCTGTGTGTGTGTGTGTGTACCTCTGTGTACCTGTGTGTACCTCTGTGTCTGTGTGTGTACCTCTGTGTACCTCTGTGTGTGTGTGTGTGTGTGTACCTGTGTGTGTGTGTGTGCGTGTGTGTACCTCTGTGTGTGTGTGTGTGTGTGAGCCTGTGTGTGTGTGTGTACCTGTGTGTGTGTGTGAGCCTGTGTGTGTGTGTGTACCTGTGTGTGTGTGTGAGCCTGTGTGTGTGTGTGTGTACCTCTGTGTGTGTGTGTTTGTGTCTCTGGTTGTGTACCTCTGGGTGTGTGTCTCGGGTTGTGTACCTCTGGGTGTGTGTCTCTGGTTGTTTACCTCTGTATGTGTGTGTGTCTCTGGTTGTGTACCTCTGTGTGTGTCTCTGGTTGTGTACTTCTGTGTGTGTCTCTGGTTGTGTACTTCTGTGTGTGTCTCTGGTTGTGTACCTCTGTGTGTGTGTGTGTGTCTCTGGTTGTGTACTTCTGTGTGTGTGTGTGTCTCTGGTTGTGTAGCTCTGGGTGTGTGTCTCTGGTTGTTTACCTCTGTATGTGTGTGTGTCTCTGGTTGTGTACCTCTGTGTGTGTCTCTGGTTGTGTACTTCTGTGTGTGTCTCTGGTTGTGTACTTCTGTGTGTGTCTCTGGTTGTGTACCTCTGTGTGTGTGTGTGTGTCTCTGGTTGTGTACTTCTGTGTGTGTGTGTGTCTCTGGTTGTGTACTTCTGTGTGTGTGTCTGGTTGTGTACCTCTGTGCCTGCCTCCTGTCTCAGCGCTGATACAAACCCATCAGTTTGACTCTCACAGTGGGTTAGAGCTCGGTATAGAGCCGCTGCCAGCTGTAGGGGCGGAGCCGAGGGGGCGGGCTCTATCTGCCCACGCACAACACTGACACAGAAACACAACATCACCTCAAGTAACATAACACAACACACACACAACAGACAAAACTCACCTCTGGGCCCAAAGATGACACTGAGACAGAGACTGGAACTGACGAGGAAACTGTGACCACAGAGAGCACAGGGACAGAGACACACGGCCCCACCAGAACTACACACACACACACACACAATACACACACAATACAACACACACACACACACACAAACAAACACAGCAGGTCAGTAAGTCTCTGTACGTTTACTGCAAAAAGTGATGATTCTACAATGGGACAAAACAAAATGATCTTGTTTTAAAAAGATACAAAAATGTCTCCCTTGGAATCTGGTCTCTCTCTCTGGTGGTCTCTTGTCTCTCTCTGGTGGTCTCTCTCTCTGGTCTCTCTCTCTCTGGTCTCTCTCTCTCTGGCTCTCTCTCTCTCTGGTCTCTCTCTCTCTGGTGGTCTCTCTCTCTGGTGGTCTCTCTCTCTGGTGGTCTCTCTCTCTGGTGGTCTCTCTCTCTGGTCTCTCTCTCTGGTCTCTCTCTGGTGGTCTCTCTCTGGTGGTCTCTCTCTCTGGTCTCTCTCTGGTGGTCTCTCTCTCTGGTGGTCTCTCTCTCTCTCTCTCTGGTCTCTCTCTCTGGTCTCTCTCTCTGGTCTCTCTCTCTGGTCTCTCTCTCTGGTCTCTCTCTCTGGTCTCTCTCTCTGGTCTCTCTCTCTGGTCTCTCTCTCTGGTCTCTCCCTCTGGTCTCTCCCTCTGGTCTCTCCCTCTGGTCTCTCCCTCTGGTCTCTCCCTCTGGTCTCTCCCTCTGGTCTCTCCCTCTGGTCTCTCCCTCTGGTCTCTCCCTCTGGTCTCTCTCTCTGGTCTCTCTCTCTGGTCTCTCTCTCTGGTCTCTCTCTCTGGTCTCTCCCTCTGGTCTCTCTCTCGTCAGAATGTGTCAGAATGAGATAAAAACCACTCGTTTCAAGCAGTTCATAATTGATCATTTTTTGCAGTGTACTCAAAGGAAGTGTGTACGGCTGAAAAGCAGACTACACTGTATTATATGTAGGTTTTAAAGAGCAGTACCATGGAGGAGACCAGGAGCAGGGGGCACTCAGAGCTGATCTGGGACCAGACTTTGTTGAACCAGTCACAGTTCTGCTCCTGTCGACTGTGTGAACCAGCACACAACACTCCCTGAGACACACACACATACACTTATTACACTTACAGTAGAGGACACACACACATACACTTATTACACTTACAGTAGAGGCTGACGATAGCACCATGTTAGCATCATGTTAGCATCATGTTAGCATCATGTTAGCATCATGTTAGCATCATGTTAGCATTGTTTGGTCAAACTGGAAAAGAAAGGAGAGAGAGGAGAGAGAGAAGAAGAGAGAGACGAGAGGAGTCTGTGTGCGTTTGTGTTCCCTGTTGTAGCGTCTTACTTTCAGGAAGTGTGATGTGATGTCACAGAGCATCACACTGTCTGCACTGGTCACTGCTCTCTGTCTCTGCACAGAAGACCACATGGTTATAATAAACACAACAGATTAATCGAAGAACAGAGACAGACAGAGAGACAGACAGAGACACAGACAGAGAGACAGACAGAGAGACAGACAGAGAGACCAGACAGAGAGACAGACAGAGAGACAGACAGAGAAACCAGACAGAGAGACAGACAGAGAGACACAGACAGAGAGACAGACAGAGAGACAGACAGAGAGACAGACAGAGAGACAGACAGAGAGACAGACAGAGAGACCAGACAGAGAGACAGACAGAGAGACAGACAGAGAGACAGACAGAGAGACAGACAGAGAGACCAGACAGAGAGACCAGACAGAGAGACCAGACAGAGAGACAGACAGAGAGACCAGACAGAGAGACAGACAGAGAGACAGACATAGAGACAGACAGAGAGACAGACAGAGAGACAGACGGAGAGACCAGACAGAGAGACCAGACAGAGAGACCAGACAGAGAGACAGACAGAGAGACAGACAGAGAGACAGACAGAGAGACAGACAGAGAGACAGACAGAGAGACAGACAGAGAGACAGACAGAGAGACAGACAGAGAGACAGACGGAGAGACCAGACAGAGAGACCAGACAGACAGAGAGACAGACAGAGAGACAGACAGAGAGACAGACAGAGAGACAGACAGAGAGACAGACAGAGAGACAGACAGAGACAGACAGAGAGACAGACAGAGAGACAGACAGAGAGACAGACAGAGAGACCAGACAGAGAGACCAGACAGAGAGACAGACAGAGAGACAGACAGAGAGACCAGACAGAGAGACAGACAGAGAGACAGACCTGGTGCTGGTTGATGTGAGCGATGAGGAGGTCACACGGTGGACCGGTCTCTGCTGCTGACTGGAGGAAGAAAGTGACAGGCAGCGCCAGCATCACCCTACACAGAAACACTACAGTGAAAATCAGTTTGTTATGAGTGGATTTACAGTGAGTCTGACCTGTTCCACATCTGCAGAGTGCGCTGCTGCACGAGCTCAGAGCTGCAGCGAGACTCAGAGGCCTCACACCGTGACTTAGACCGTGACTGAGAGGACCGGGACTGAGAGGACCGAGACTCAAACCGAGACTGAGAGGACCGAGACTCAGACCGAGACTGAGAGGACCGAGACTCAGACTGGGGCGAGGAGGAGAGACGCTGTGACAGAAGCTCAAACACGAGACGAGACAAGCGTGGTCTGTGTGAGGAGGCTGACAACCACTCCTCATACACACATGTCTGACACACACACGCACACACAGACACACACTGGTTCAGTTACTGTGCCACATATGAAAGCTGGGGTACCTAACTTTTGTGTTTCATAAAAGAAAGCCGAGTCTATTTGTATAGCACAGTTCACACACGACTAAAAATCAATAATCCCACAACATTAAATCGAGTCTAAACAGAAAGAGTCTTGTAGAATTATAACGCCGTGAACAAATCCCACCACGTCTCATTCGGTCAATTCTGATAATCTGAGAACCACAATTTGACTCCGAGCTTATTGGCTGCTTCCCACTTTTACAATAACTGATCTGAAGATGTGAGAAGAAAAATACATGCGAAAACTTGTGATGGAGCCATGAGAGATGTATATTATTGTTTGTAGTCTTAAAGTTATGTACCTCAGCTTTAATGGGAGTGAAACCATCGATCTAAACAGGAAGTCTCTTGGTCCAGACTCACCTGTAACCTGGAGATGATGTCTGGGAGAAAAGCGCTGTTGTAGAGATCCCCATCGTCCACAGCACTGAGCAACAAACAGTTAAAACATTTAGACTCAAGAAGAGATGGTGTCGCTGCAGGTCTTCATACCAACTGAGCAGGAGCACCTCAGACTCTATGATATCTGCTTGTTGTGACTCTATGATGTCTGCTTGTTGTGACTCTATGACGTCTGCTTGTTGTGACTCTATGACGTCTGCTTGTTGTGACTCTATGATGTCTGCTGTGACTCTATGATGTCTGCTTGTTGTGACTATGATGTCTGCTTGTTGTGACTATGATGTCTGCTTGTTGTGACTCTATGATGTCTGCTTGTAGTGACTCTATGTCTGCTTGTTGTGACTATGACGTCTGCTTGTTGTGACTCTATGATGTCTGCTTGTTGTGACTCTATGTCTGCTTGTTGTGACTATGACGTCTGCTTGTTGTGACTCTATGATGTCTGCTTGTAGTGACTCTATGTCTGCTTGTTGTGACTCTATGACGTCTGCTTGTTGTGACTCTATGACGTCTGCTTTTTGTGACTCTATGACGTCTGCTTGTTGTGACTCTATGACGTCTGCTTGTTGTGACTCTATGACGTCTGCTTGTTGTGACTCTATGACGTCTGCTTGTTGTGACTCTATGATGTCTGCTTGTTGTGACTCTATGTCTGCTTGTTATGACTCTATGTCTGCTTGTTATGACTCTGACGTCTGCTTGTTGTGACTCTATGATGTCTGCTTGTTGTGACTCTATGATGTCTGCTTGTTGTGACTCTATAATGTCTGCTTGTTGTGACTCTATGACGTCTGCTTGTTGTGACTCTATGACGTCTGCTTGTTGTGACTCTGATTTCTATGAAGGACATGAATTACCATATATCACAAAATCACATTCTGTCTGTATCGTGATATGTTAAGAATCACGATAATAATGAAATGTGGCCCAAATACTGTAGAATCTGCACATTTCTGCCCATTCCCGCTCCTGAACTCCTGCCATTTCTTCAGGTCTTCAGGTTAAAACTTGACATTTGCTCGGAGGAAATGGATGGAATCTGCGTGCTCCTACTTGTTTGGAATGAAAACCTGCAGTGACACCGGTCTTGTTTGGGAGATTAAAGTTAAAACTCACTTGTCCAGGACGGCGGTGAGGAGGCGGCAGCAGAGGGCGCTGGTGTCTCCCCCAAAGCCTCCCTCCTGCTCCGGCTTCGGTAAGAACAGTTCCATGAAGACCCAGTCCTGGTACTGCTGCCTTTAGAAAGACTCAGATGTGAGACTGGTCCTGGTCAGGTCCCTAATCAGGTCCTGGTCAGGTTCTGGCCGGGTCCTGGTCGGGTCCGAGTCTGCATCACTCACCGTTCAGCCGCAGACAGAGCGTCCCCTCCCTGGACTTGGAACTCATGCAGGAGCCATTCTGAAAACGATAACTACAAACACAGAGTACACATACAGATGTTACAAGAGAGAGAGAGGGACCAGAGTGAGAGAGACCAGAGAGAGAGGGACCAGAGTGAGAGAGACCAGAGAGAGAGAGAGACCAGAGTGAGAGAGACCAGAGTGAGAGAGAACAGCGAGAGAGAGAGACCAGAGTGAGAGAGACCAGAGAGAGAGGGAGACCAGAGTGAGAGAGACCAGAGAGAGAGGGAGACCAGAGTGAGAGAGACCAGAGAGAGAGGGAGACCAGAGTGAGAGAGAGACCAGAGTGAGAGAATAGAGAGAGAGAGAGACCAGAGTGAGAGAGACCAGAGTGAGAGAATAGAGAGAGACCAGAGTGAGAGAGAACAGAGAGAGAGAGAGACCAGAGTGAGAGAGACCAGAGAGAGAGGGAGACCAGAGTGAGAGAGACCAGAGAGAGAGGGAGACCAGAGTGAGAGAGACCAGAGAGAGAGGGAGACCAGAGTGAGAGAGACCAGAGTGAGAGAATAGAGAGAGAGAGAGACCAGAGTGAGAGAGACCAGAGAGAGAGAGAGACCAGAGTGAGAGAATAGAAAGAGAGAGAGACCAGAGTGAGAGAGAACAGAGAGAGAGAGAGACCAGAGTGAGAGAGACCAGAGAGAGAGAGAGACCAGAGTGAGAGAGACCAGAGAGGGAGACCAGAGTGAGAGAGAACAGAGAGAGAGAGAGACCAGAGAGAGATCAGAGAGAGGGAGACCAGAGAGATAGACCAGAGAGACAGACCCGAGTGAGAGAGAACAGAGAGAGAGAGACCAGAGTGAGAGAGACCAGAGAGAGAGGGAGACCAGAGTAAGAGAGACCAGAGAGAGAGGGAGACCAGAGTGAGAGAGACCAGAGAGAGAGGGAGACCAGAGTGAGAGAGACCAGAGAGAGAGGGAGACCAGAGTGAGAGAATAGAGAGAGACCAGAGTGAGAGAGAACAGAGAGAGAGAGAGAGACCAGAGTGAGAGAGACCAGAGAGAGAGGGAGACCAGAGTGAGAGAGACCAGAGGGAGAGGGAGACCAGAGTGAGAGAGACCAGAGAGAGAGGGAGACCAGAGTGAGAGAGAGACCAGAGTGAGAGAATAGAGAGAGAGAGAGACCAGAGTGAGAGAGACCAGAGAGAGAGAATAGAAAGAGAGAGAGACCAGAGTGAGAGAGAACAGAGAGAGAGAGAGACCAGAGTGAGAGAGACCAGAGAGAGAGAGAGACCAGAGTGGGAGACCAGAGTGAGAGAGAACAGAGAGAGAGAGAGACCAGAGAGAGATCAGAGAGAGGGAGACCAGAGAGATAGACCAGAGAGACAGACCCGAGTGAGAGAGAACAGAGAGAGAGAGACCAGAGTGAGAGAGACCAGAGAGAGATCAGAGAGAGAGAGAGACCAGAGTGAGAGAGACCAGAGAGAGATCAGAGAGAGATCAGAGAGAGAGAGAGACCAGAGAGAGAGAGAGACCAGAGTGAGAGAGAACAGAGAGAGAGAGAGAGACCAGAGAAAGACCCGAAAAAGAGTCCAGCGAGAAAGACCAGAGTGAAATACTATAAAGAGAGACCAGAGAGAGACCAGAGGGATACCAGAGAGAGAGACCAGAGAATGAGACCAGAGAGACACCAGAGCGAGAGACCAGGGACTAAAGTGAGACACAAACCTGGAACTGTGGTTGGAGCTGGAGGCTGCAGAAGGCGGGGTTTCTCCACACGCTCAGAGCTGTGTTCCTCCAGGACGATTCTTCTTCTGTGGCTCTGGTCCAAGAACCAGGAAGTGACCCCACAGACTCCCCACGTACAGAGGAGACCGAGGACACCGAGGAGACCGAGGACACCGAGGAGACCGAGGAGCGAGCGAGAGGCAGCCACCGCGGGACAAGGAACAGAAGCTGAAAACACACTGGACCTTTTATATTCAGCAGATCTGTAGATTAAGTGTTTTTTCAGATTGCAGAGGGAAAGGTTGTCGACTCAACTCAATTTTTTTTGTATTGCTCTAAATCCCAACAGTAGTTACTCACAATTCACAACTTTGTCTCCCTCAGTGTGAAACAGACTCGCCGTTTGAGACAGTGAGAGAGACCAAATATTTTTATACACAGGCAATATCTCCCTTCATCATCTTAGGCCACAAGGAACAGTGGCAGGGAAAACGTATGCAAACATGGGGAGAACATGCAAACTGCACAGAGAGAGAGAGAGAGCGAGAGCGAGAGAGACCAGCGAGAGACCAGAAAGAGAGCAGAGAGACCAGGGAAAGACCAGAGAGAGCGAGACCAGAGAGCGAGACCAGAGAGCGAGACCAGAGAGCGACGGAAAGACGAGAGAGAGACCTATGCAAACATGGGGAGAACATGCAAACTGCAGACAGAAAGGGCCTGTAATACAAGAATACAGGAGAGAGACCTTCTTGCACATGTTTGTTGGGATGAGTCGATCTAGAGCCTCATCTTCTCTGCACATGACGTAACACACGGCGACCAGACAGAACCTGAGACAGAGGACATTAGACTGTGTGTGTGTGTGACTGTGTGTGTGTGTGTGTCTATGTGTGTATTTGTGTGTGTGCTTGTGTGTGTATGTGTGTGTGTATGTGACTGTGTCTATGTGTCTATGTGTGTATGTGTGTCCGTGCCTGTGTGTGTGTGTGTCTATGTGTGTCTACGTGTGTCTACGTGTGTCTGCGTGTGTTTGCGTGTGTTTGCGCGTGCGTGCGCGTGTGTGTATGTATACAGACCTGAGGCTGAACAGCATGTGAGAGCTGGAGTCACAGCGCAGCCCGGAGCACAGAGCCTCAGTCACACACACAGGAGCAGTACCCTGCAGCGCCACCAGGGGACAGTGTGAGGAGGATGAGTGCAGGTGCATCAGGAAGACTGCCAGCCCCAAGACATGAGCCGCACCCAGAGAGGACCCCTGCACAAACAACACACACTTAAGTTGTTTTCAGACCGGATCATGCTGCGGAGAGACGCCTTGTTGCGGCGCAGCAGCGGTGGGTACAGTAGCGAGATTCAGCAAAAGCAGGAGATCAACATCCTCGCTCCACACTAGCGGCAACCAATCAGAGAGCAGCAAAGTGAGGACATGTGCCGGTCCAAACAGGAGACACTCGAAAAGAAGCTACATCAGGATTAAACCAGGACTAAACCAGGACTAAACCAGGACTAAACCAGGACTAAACCAGGACTGAGGATGGGGTCAGTGCTTGTGAACATATGTCTTCAACCAGAGTTTCTACTGTGACTGTAAACACGTGCTAAAACGAGTCCCTGATACAGAAGTACCACAGTTAGCATCATGTTCTTCCCCAACACAGGCCGTCAGACTAATTGCGGGTGGCCAAGTTGCTTTACGTCTATGCCTGTTTTGGTCTGATTTCTTTCAGTCGGGAGGACCCACAGAGTTAGGTACCGCAGCTTTAAAGATGTGATTGTGTCAAACCTGGTTATGAAGCAGGTCCCAGAGTCTGTGCACGAGACACGAGAAAACAGCTCTGTTCTCAGTCAGCGCCAACACGAACCTGGAGGCCCACGGGAAGTGTCTGAAAGAGAGAGACACTGTTTCATTTAGACTTTGTTATTCTGAGCGAGAAGACATGACCTGAAACAAGGAAAGGAATCTAGGAAAGAGACACGGAAAGGAGACAGTGGGAGACAATTGGGATTGGGCCAGAGTTTCAAAGACCAGACCCTGGTCTTAGTCCTACCTCGAACTGAACAGAAGATCAGTATTCGACATTTAGGGACCAGAGAGAGAGACCAGAGAGAGAGAGACCAGAGAGAGACCAGAGAGAGACCAGAGAAAGACCAGAGAGAGACCAGAGAGAGAGACCAGAGAGAGAGAGAGAGAGAGACCAGAGAGAGACCAGAGAGAGAGACCAGAGAGAGAGAGACCAGAGAGAGAGACCAGAGACAGAGACCAGAGAGAGAGACCAGAGAGAGAGACCAGAGAGAGATCAGAGAGAGATCAGAGAGAGATCAGAGAGAGACCAGAGAGGGACCAGAGAGGGACCAGAGAGGGACCAGAGAGGGACCAGAGAGGGACCAGAGAGGGACCAGAGAGAGACCAGAGAGAGAGACCAGAGAGAGAGACCAGAGAGAGGGACCAGAGAGAGAGACCGGAGAGAGAGATCAGAGAAAGAGAGACCAGAGAAAGAGAGACCAGAGAGAGAGACCAGAGAGAGAGACCAGAGAGAGATCAGAGAGAGATCAGAGAGAGATCAGAGAGAGACCAGAGAGAGAGACCAGAGAGAGACCAGAGAGGGACCAGAGAGGGACCAGAGAGAGACCAGAGAGGGACCAGAGAGAGACCAGAGAGAGAGACCAGAGAGAGGGACCAGAGAGAGAGACCGGAGAGAGAGATCAGAGAAAGAGAGACCAGAGAAAGAGAGACCAGAGAGAGACCAGAGAGAGAGAGAGACCACAAGGTAAAGGGGATGTCTACCTTGTGGGTTGGTGTTTGGATGTGTCCAGAACACACTGACAGAAGCTTCTTAGCACCGTGTCCACCACCTTCAGAGACAAACACATTATTTAACATTTAACACACAACGGTTACAAAGAGAACGACTTTCTCCAGTGACGTCATGAACCTGGAGGTGCAGCTCAGAGGGGGGTGTGTCTGTGTGGAGCTGGACCACGTCAGGGCCAGAGGAGGAGGAGGAGGAGGAGGGACAGAGGAGACTCAGGCTGTGGGACATCAGGGACAGCTGCGCCGACAGATCTGACGGAGAATAATAATAAATCAATTTTTAATAGGGCTTTTCTGGACACTCAAAGATGCTTCACATGTTATTATTCACTCCATACACAGCCACGTTTAGGGTTAGAGTTGGATAGAGTTAGGGCATGGATCTATAATAATAACTGGATAGAGTATAAGCTTATAGCTGTCCCACCCATGGCCACAGGGGGCGCCGTGGTACTGCAGACTAAAGTCATGTGGGCTACGCAGAAAAAAGTCCCATAGAACTCATAATACGAACTAAAACAGCTCGACCTCAGCTGACAGAACCTGACAGAGAACCTGACAGAGCTGCTCTGATTGGTCAGAACGCTGCCCTCCGATTGGTCTGAATCTATTGAGTTGAATAGGACACCATCTTGGATCGCTGGGGCTTGGGTGAGGGTTATATTTGGTTGGTGTTAGGGAACACTATCACTTTAAATAGCTGTTGTTTGTTTGTTTATTGTTTATTTGGGCTGCTTTCCATCAGTCTTCCGACAGTGGCACTTACAAACACACTCATTCACCCTGAACTATTGTACATGTTTAAAGTGGTCGGGGAAACCGGAGCACCCAGAGGAAACCTACGCGGACACAGGGAGAACATCCAAACTCCACTCAGAAAGGCCCTGTGGTCATTACCCGTGTGGTCGTTGGACAGGAGCAGGTCTCTGATGGAGCTGAGGTGAGTCTTCAGGGCGTGGACAGGACTGTGGTGAGAATCTGAAACTACAGCAGAGTCTGAGAGTCTGTTCAAACACAAACACGATCAGTGACTAATACCTCTGAGTTTCTGCTTCTCCTTTTCACACGACGCCTCATACGCAGAGAACTGAGCCCAAGGAATCTTATCTGCTCTGAAGAGAAAGGAAAGAAAAACAAAAGAGAAAAACACACAAGAGAGTAGGACAGTTTTAGAGGACGTGGTGTAAAGGAGGTTTGTAGATAGAGAGACAGAGAGAGAGAGAGAGACAGAGTGAGAGAGAGAGACAGAGTGAGACAGCGACAGAGGGAGAGAGTGATAGAGTGAGAGACAGAGAGATACATTATTATTATTATTAGTTTATTTGATATGGACATATCAACTGCATTGGACAAACCAGTCCTGCATTGTCTAAACTGGATACATTGTTTCCAGTTTAGACAGAGAGAGACAGTGAGAGAGAGAGAGCGTGTGAGACACAGAGAGACAGTGAGAGCGTGAGAGAGACAGAGAGAGAGAGAGAGAGAGAGAGACAGCGACAGAGGGAGAGAGTGATAGAGTGAGAGACAGAGAGATACATAGCCAGAGAGAGACAGTAAGTGAGAGAGAGCGTGAGAGACACAGAGACAGTGAGAGCGTGAGAGAGACAGACAGAGAGAGAGAGACAGAGAGACAGAGAGACAGAGAGAGAGAGAGAGAGATTAATTACTTCTTTAGGGCTTCTATGAATTGGATGCGAGTGTCGGCTTTGGCAGGAATCTGGAACAACACGATTGGATAAAGGTTAAAAAAAAAAGTGGGTTTGTACCAGTTCCATAGAAACATCCAGAGGTTAAAGAATAGAGAATAGAGATTAGAGATTATAGATTAGAGATTAGAGAGAGTAAGTATGAAGTGTGCACTGACCGCTCTTGGAGTCAGCAGAGTCGGGAGGAACCGGGTCAAGAAATACGGCCGTCTGAAAATACTGTCAGAGGAATCACAGGTGAAAAATGGAAAAGAGAAAGCAAACTCAAGATTAGGTTCAGGCATGTCCAAACTCAGGCCCGGGGGCCAAGTGCGGCCCTCAGTGTCATTTTATGCGGCCCTCTGCCTCATCATAAACACAAGTTCATGTTTCTCACTGGCTCCATCATGTTTCTCACCTGGCCTCCATCACGGTGGCAGAGATCCTCCCTGTGCTTTCAAACAGAGCCAGAGCCTTCTCCACGTCCTGCTTCTCCTGGTGCTGGGACTATGAACACACACCAGGTACAAACCAGATCAACACAGACAGGATTCAGCTCAAACTGCGGCTGGAGCTGAATCTCCTGTTACCTGCTGAGCTGCAGACACGTCCTCATACAGACCCATGTCCTCCAGAGACTCCTGCACAGACCAGCACCAGGAAGTGAACAACTAATAACATACTGTATAAGAATGTCACAGCAATAATATAAATAATAATATATATATAAAGCTGAGGAACCTAGCATTCAAACCACAAATGAACTGTCCTCCATCTTGCTCCAAACTTCCAAACCGGTTCTAGCACTAGCTTCCACATGTATTTTTAGCCTCTGTCAATCAATCAATCTGTATTTGTACGTTTAAAACAGCCGAGGCTTAACCAAGTGCTGCACAGACAAGTGAAAACACGGCACCAGCGTCTTAAGCACAGATTTACAGTACAGTGAGTGCTCAGTTTGCATTTGCAAGTTCAAAAGTGACAAAGAGAAGGACCACCCTCTGTCATGTCAGGGTCTGAATTGTCCTCAAATGTTACTTTTAAACGGCTTTCTCCATCCATCCATCCATCCATTTTCTACCCTTTAATCCATTTCTGGGTCAGGGGGGTGGCAGTCAGAGATGCCACCCAAGTCTCATAGCACCAGCCCCTCACTGACCCTCTGCAGGTGGTGAGTCCACAGGAGGACGGCTGCTCTCTGAGTGTGAGCATAGCCTTGATCTTTCAGTGGGGGCTTTGGGCAAAGTGGGGTTAAGTGTCTTGCCCAAGGACACAACGACAGCAGTCATCAGTGGGAGTTGGTGGAGAAGGTGCAGAGGTGGGAAATGAACCCACAACCTTCGGGCCTTAAGGCCAATGCTCTACCAACTGAGCTACTGTCGCCCCGGCAACGGCTTTCTATCGGAGCAAAACATAATAATCAGATAAACAAAGTAATGTAGACACAATATAGTTGATCCTCTACTTAATTACTTAGCTTGGAATGTGCCTCAGCAGGATATAAAACATTATTTAATTGACCAGAGAAAGAGATAGAGAGTAAATCAACAGACTCATTGAGATTGATGCTAATGCTAATGGTAATGCTACTGCTACTGCTAATGCTAATGCTAATGCTTACCACTAAATATACAGTCTCTCGAACTGAGAAAATACAGAGATTTCATTGTGTGAGAGGTGAGAGTAAATGCTGGGCTCCATCCATACATTTTCTTCCCCTTAATCCATTTCTGTATTCTGTATGTTTGTTTTACTTTGTCTCTCTCCAAGGGGTGCGAAGGAGCATATGCCTTTTTGCACGTTTTTGTTCTTATTGTGGTGTGTGTTTATGTAATACAATATTCTTTTTCTTAGTGCTCTGTGAACTGTTTTGTATGTATGTGTGTGTGTTTACATGTTTGTAGTTATGTTTAGGACCCCCTCGACAAGTCGCACAAATGCCTCTTGGCCGGGAAAAAATACACAATGCTCGTATATTGTGTTGACTAGTGGCTCAACATGTGTCTTGGTGCAGTATTACGGTTCCACGCGTGAGTCCCGCAGGTCGCTGCTGTACGTGTGACATGGATGTCTGCAGCAAAGTAACTATTGTAGCTAAGTGGAGAGTCATTGTGGCTGTTTTTCAGAATTATACATTTATAGAGAAAGTTGTAGTGGCCAAATTAAAATTCTACTATTGTCATTGAAAGTTTAGAGGTTTTTATTGTCTGTTTTTTATTTTATATTGTGTTTTTTGTCTGTCTGAGTTGATCTGAATCTGCAAATACATTTATTTTATGACTTGGACCGTACGCACGCTCTGATTGGCTGATTACCGGTCTGATATTTCCCCAGGTCTCTCAGACCGTTACCATGACAATCGGTCGCTTGCTCGGTCTGTACAGACCTTTGCCTTTTTGCAAAGACCTCGCGCTCGGTTAATAAGCCGTTAGTATCTATCTATCATCTTCTAACACAGTGCCCTCTCTCTCTCTCTTAAAATGGATAACTAGCAGACTAGCAGCACTGGCATAACTAGCAGTAACTTCAGCAAAGCACAATACAGTGACTGAAGTTGCGAGTTAGCCGAGCACACAACCACAACAAAAGAAAACTATAGAAACAATAAATGCACCTCAGGAACAAGTTTGAATGGGCTTTGAAGGAATCACATTAATGTATCAAGCGAGAGGCTGAACACATGGAAGGACTTGATCATTTTTTAAGTAAAACACTGGAAATGACTTCACTGCTTGTAAGCCGCACTAAAAGGAAATGTGTGAACATGATCAGAGTACATAAAATTAGTATTAACTTACCACAACACTGCCTTTTGTCGGTGAAACACCTGAGCAACTTGGAAAGGCATCATACTCTTCTGACACCTGTGCAAGAACAAAAGAGGTTTAGTTTTCCAAAAGAAAAATACTTAGAACAAGTGAATAGTTACCTGCAACTTCTCAGTTGCTTCCACAGCTGCTTTAGTCCTTTGTCTACTCGACACTTTCAAAGCTTTACTGCCTTTAGCTTTCTTTTTCTGAAATGTAGATTAAAATAAGTACCAAAGATCTGAATGGGTAACAAGTGAGGCTGTAATGTAACATTATTTTGCAGGATTGACCATAAAAATTAAAATTAAAATAAGACTATATTATAGAATAATTATGCTTTCTAGAGCACAAATGTGCAAGCTACTCCAAATTCTAAGAAAATTCTTCAAATCTTTCAGAATCTTTGATAATACGGGCCCAGGTTTACAATAAAACATAATGCGTGTGTTAGTGTTTGTTTTATTGTCTTTAAATGTTTGGTACTCCACCTTAAATGTTTGACAGACCAAATTACATTGCAAAAGAATCAGTGTTCATTCGTTCATTCCATTTTTTGTTTATAACAAGCAATAAAGCACACTGAAAACAACACAATTCGTGCATGGTTTGTTCTTTTGTTTTCTGATTTTCACACAAAGTTAGTAAAGTGTAAAAACAGAAATCAAGAAAACAGAACTTCATGTTCATTTTACCATTTTAATATTGAAAACATTTTTAGTTTGTGGTATTTTCTTACTTCTTGCGGCTGGCATCAGCAGCCATCGCTTGCCAAATTATTTGTCACGCGGTGGGAAGGAGGAGGCTCAAAATGCGAGAATGCAAAAGAATAATGATTTAATAAAATAAAAGTCCAGGTGAAAACATAACTCAAAATCCAAAACACAGAACCAGGAACAGGACGGAACAGAAGTTGACAATACAATGGACCAGCAACAAGAGGAGAGGAGCACAGGGTAATTATAGACCGAGACACAGGTGAAACACATTAGGGCGGGGCAGACAATCAAGACAGGGGAAACAGGACGTCAAAGTCAAACTAAAACCAAAGCACAGAGAACAAATATCAAAATAAAGCTAAAGTCCAAAATAAAATCCACACCATGACAGTATTACTGTCGATAGGTTGTAATTTTAGGCACTCTTGGAAGTAAAACTATTAATATGGTACACAATGAGCTGCGCAGATCGCTGATGCAGCACCGCTGGGGCCAGAGACAAAATACAAAACAGGGAGAAGCAGAGAGGAGAGGCCCCGTATGAAAGCAGACCAGAGATGGACAGTGCCGCCTCGCTGACAGTGGAGTGCAGTGACCTCGGAGCTGAGAGCGAAGTCTGCCTAGTCTGATTTTTGGCGCAGATGTGTATGGAGGACCAAAAATGACTGACTAAAGTATAAATAAATAAATAAATAAATAAATACAGGAGTATATTAATAAATACATTCATTTTGGACAATAAAAACTAAATATTTACATTGATATGCTAAATATTACTCTGAAATCAAATAAATATACTTTTATTTAGGTTATTTATCAAAATCTACATTTTTTCCTTTATTTATTTATCCATTTATTGCATATATTTATTTATGTATTTCTACATTTCTTCATTTATTTATTTATGTATTTGTGTGTCGCTGCATTTCTTCATTTATTTATTTATGTATTTCTACATTTCTTCATTTATTTATTTATGTATTTCTACATTTCTTCATTTATTTATTTATGTATTTCTGTGTCGCTACATTTCTTCATTTATTTATTTATGTATTTCTACATTTCTTCATTTATTTATTTATTTATTTCTGTGTCGCTACATTTCTTCATTTATTTATTTATGTATTTCTGTGTTCCTGTATGCTAATTAGGTGGGCGGTGCTGAACTCAATCTAGAACAGGATTGGTTAGGATTGCGTGAACTCTGGTCTCGATCATTTACTGCCTCACATTACGGTACTCTGTTAGCTAGCTAGAGATCCTCTGTGCACTTTTGTGTGGTATGATGGCAGTTTCGAATGTAAGTTTTTTAGGAGCCATTGCTCATCAATTAAGAGCATTAGCAAATGATGTTAATGATGTTGAGCATAATGCACCTGAGGACTATCTACTCTTTCGGCTGGAAAGACTATTAAATGTTTTAGTTCATCACAGTGCTGACCCAGAGGTAGACTTTGATGCAACTGTGCCGGACGCTCTTCAACAAGCAGCAGCTTCACATCCTCTCACAAACCGAGAAGGTTAAAGCCTAGCGTACATCGGACTGGCAACTGATTATATCCGTCGCATATGAGTTGCTGCCCCGCACACATCGACAATCTGACGAAAACGGGCAACTCCCAGTGGCAGACCAGTCTCGAGAATAACAGCGCGTACATCGACAGCAACTGGCCTCAACTACAGTGTGTTTTCTGACATAAACTGTTGCGGGCGCAATACACGCAATACACACACGTTGTCGGAGCGGCGCATGGAGCGCACACATTGGGTCATATCTCGAAAACTGAGGACAACTAGTTGCCGAAAAGTAGAACACGGGCAACTGACTGAAACTGGAGACCGACTGATCATCTCCAGTTGTAAGAGCGCGCACATCGACCGATTTTGGCAACTGATCATCTCCATCATCTCCTCTCAGTCGCCAAAAGCCGCCTTGCAACTTGTCTCCAGTTTCTCTGTCGATGTACGCTAGGCTTAACTTTGCTTCTGTCTGGTTGCCCTGGCTGACCTACTGCCCACCAATCCTGTTCTAGATTGAGTTCAGCACCGCCCGCCTAATTAGCATACGGCAACACAGAAATACATAAATAAATAAATGAAGAAATGTAGAAATACATCAATAAATAAATGAAGAAATGTAGAAATACATAAATAAATAAATGAAGAAATGTAGAAATACATAAATATATGCAATAAATGGATAAATAAATAAAGGAAAAAATGTAGACTTTGATAAATAACCTAAATAAAAGTATATTTATTTGATTTTATAGTAATATTTAACACATCAATGTAAATATTTAGTTTTTATTGTCCAAAATGAATGTATTTATTAATATATTCCTGTATTTATTTATTTATTTATTTATTTATACTTTAGTCATTTTTGGTCCTCCATAGATGTGGACCTACATCCTTCGCTTGTGTGAGTCACTACTCAGCTCTGCTGGGCTCTGTGTCTCAGGGAGGAGACAGCTGATTAAACCATCAGGGTTTAATCATACCAAGCACGAGTTTGTGAAGCAAATGTACTAATTTATGACCAAAATAATGAATTACGAGTGTCAAAATGTATGCATCAGGAGCCTTCACATCTCTCTGCTACGAGTGGAAAAGACTCCAATGCACGTTCTTCGCTTTTGTCACTGCGCGCAGAGGCTGAATTTTGGCACACGACTGTACATCAGCCACAGTATAGTGTAGATTGTATTCCCACTGCGAAAAATAACAAAGTGTGTGCCGTATTAATGTGTATTTTTTCTTCCAAAAATGCCTACAATTTGAATTGATCCACAGTAATAATTGTCTTTAATATGTTACGTCATTGCTCCAAATTTCCAGTATTTGAGGCTGTTTTAATATTTTATTTTGAAGGCGTGCAAAGAACGCAGATGTCAGCAAGAAGAAGAAAATACCAAAAACTCTGAGGCTCTATAAATAAAGGTTGATTGATTGATTTAAATATTGAAAATAACACACGCAAAGAGACACACGCAAAGTGACCAAATTGCTTTGCAGTTGAGGCACAACATTATAAACATTAAATATAAATTCAATGATCAATTAAATCTGTACAATGACAAAAAATGAAATGCCACTGCATTACTGTGTATTAAAATCATGTGTGTCAAAGTTAACGCTTTAACTCTTGTGATTAATCACCAAAAATGAATGCATTAACCATGGTTTAATCATAGCATGAATATGATATATTAAAAAAGGTTAATTATTGTATTTTGTTGTTCCCAAATACGTTTATTATACTTAAAACCCTTCAGACTCAATCGATTACCTGGGATGAAACTTTACTAGCCTGGAGACTCTGGCATTTAGAGAATAGTTTTGGTGAAGTGATGGTAATTAGCCCAATAGTTAAATGAGAACTTGAGCTCATTGATTCAGCTGTGTATGAATTCAGGCCGTAAAAAGTAAGTAAGTAAGTAATGTTTATTTATATACCGCCTTTCACAGACAAGAGTCACAGCGGTTTACAATTGTTATGTTTTTGGGCACTTGTCCTCTCACTCCCCACAGAGATGGGAGCGGGGCCAGTACAGGAGGCACATGCCAGACCTGTTGTACATATTTTTAGTGGTAGGGGAAACCAGAGTACCCGGAGGAAAAATTCAAAATTTATTTAATGACTGCAAATAAAATATTTGGCTCCCAAAGGTTTCACCGGGACGTGCTAGGCAGGTAACAGCTAAGCTAGCTAGTTAAAAAACTCTCTGGAACTACATGAAAACTGAACAAAGAAATCAGCGGTAATCTTTCAGTTATACATTTTGTTTTCATCAGTGATTGTTGTACGGCTTACAACAAGTTGCGCTAATGCTAATGTTAGCATATAGATTGCAAATAAAACTAGATGGCTCCGTGGGATGAGAGTGTAGGGGAAATGAGAAGCCTGTGAGCGAGTTGGGGGCGGGGCTAAACATTCAACCCTTGCAAAATCGTTCTGTTTGAATGTTTGGCTTCTTATTTCACCTACGCTCTCCTCCCACGGAGCCATCTAGTTTTATGTTCAGGGCTTGGTTTCTTCTTTGATCATGTTGTGGCTTTAGTTCCTCTTCTCTTCCTCACTGTTGTGTGGTTTAGACTGTTTTGCTGTGTCTGCAGTTACCGCCAGAGGAGTTATAGCCACTTATGCTAACATGCTACTGTGTTTAGCAGCGCTGTAGACACTAGAGGAGGCGTGGCCTCGTTCTGTGATTGGAGGAGAGCGGGCGTCACGCTAAGTCTCTACTCAGCACTTTTTACTGAGTTCATACACAGCTGAATCAATGAGCTCAAGTTATACATTAAATTACTGATTATAAGACACCTTGTATGTAGTAATAATCATTTTTATGAACTCATTAGAAAGAAATTTGGGTATAGCTTCTTTAAGGCTCACACGATCTGGCAAATTTTCCACCTCATGAGGCCTTGAGACAATGTGCGTTGTCTGAGCTAGAGCGATAGATACATATTTACAGACTAAAGTCCAAAAGTGGTATGACTAATAGTTTTCCGATTGTTAATTTTAAAACCAAAATAGAAAAACTGAATATTAAATCAATATTTGTGTATGTTTTGCTGGACATGAATGTGTGAACATGATCAGAGTACATAAAATTAGTATTAACTTACCACAACACTGCCTTTTGTCGGTGAAACACCTGAGCAACTTGGAAAGGCATCATACTCTTCTGACACCTGTGCAAGAACAAAAGAGGTTTAGTTTTCCAAAAGAAAAATACTTAGAACAAGTGAATAGTTACCTGCAACTTCTCAGTTGCTTCCACAGCTGCTTTAGTCCTTTGTCTACTCGACACTTTCAAAGCTTTACTGCCTTTAGCTTTCTTTTTCTGAAATGTAGATTAAAATAAGTACCAAAGATCTGAATGGGTAACAAGTGAGGCTGTAATGTGACATTATTTTGCAGGATTGACCATAAAAAATAAAAACAAATATAATACTTTTGAAAAACAAAGATACCCTTTTCTTTGGGGAAGTAGACAGGGTGAGATCCGAGGCACTCTGATAAAAAGTCCTTTAATGAGAGGAGGGACCGACGCGTTTCGGCCACTTCTCGTTCCTTCTCTCATTAAAGGACTTTTTATCAGAGTGCCTCGGATCTCACCCTGTCTTTACTTTCCCACAGAAAAGGGTATCTTTGTTTGGCAATGTTATTTCTTATCCTGAAGAGCACCTGATTTTAAACACATCTTTGACTTTTGGACCCTGTAGCACTCACTCCTCCTGTTTATATTAAAAACACATATAAAGCTATGTACAATGCAGCGACTCAAGCTACGAGTTAGCTTTATATGTGTGGTTGTGTGCTAGGCTATGTACAATGCAGCGACTCAAGCTACGAATTAGCTTTATATGTGTGGTTGTGTGCTAGGCTATGTACAATGCAGCGACTCAAGCTACGAATTAGCTTTATATGTGTGGTTGTGTGCTAGGCTATGTACAATGCAGCGACTCAAGCTACGAGTTAGCTTTATATGTGTGGTTGTGTGCTAGGCTATGTACAATGCAGCGACTCAAGCTACGAATTAGCTTTATATGTGTGGTTGTGTGCTAGGCTTTGTACAATGCAGCGACTCAAGCTACGAGTTAGCCTAGCACACAACCATGACAAATGCAAAAAAACAAATGTTTTCAGCCAATGTAATGTTTTTTTTTTTTTAAAGTCTTACCTTGGATTCATAAATGTGGTCTTTCTTGCTCCTCTCCATGCTGTGCCGCGAGCTGTTGACCACACCACATGCACCTGGTCTCTCCTCAGCAAAACTGAAACAACTTCACTCAGAGCGCATGGAGTGGGGGAGGGGCGCATAGGTCTTGTGGGGCCCGAATTTCAGAAAATGTGTTTTGAGCCTCCATTTTGAGAAAAAGCAAACCTGAACTTCCCTCATCAGCACTTGGAGTGGGGGAGGGGCGCATAGGTCTTGTGGGGCCCGAATTTCGGGAAATGTGCCTCCATTTTGAGAAAAAGCAAACCTGAACTGGATGTGACCGCGTTGGTTGGCCCTGTGGATGGGAAGTATTTTTCTAAATATGGTATTGCTTCACTTAATGACAAAAATTGCACTGGTCTGTTGGACTTGAACATAAATAAACAATATTTTTGTTGCTTGAGCTTATTATTCAGTGATTATTCAATGTAAACTAAAAATCCATGTGAAAAAAATTACTTAACTGTTCTCAGGTCAATTATTTATATGCGGTTAAAATGTGATTAATTGTGATTAATTAATTCCAAAGCCTCTAATTAGTGAGATTTTTATTTTTTATCGAGTCCCAGCCCTATATATATAATATATATATATTATATATATATATATATATATATATATATATATATATATATATATATATATACTTCTCTCCAGTCAGCACATGGAGTGGGGGAGGGGTGCATAAGTCTCCTGGGGCCCGAATTTCAGGAAATGTGTTTGTTGCTTACAATTTGAGAAAAGCAAACCTGAACTTCCCTCATCAGCACATGGAGTGGGGGAGGGGCGCATAGGTCTTGTGGGGCCCGAATTTCAGAAAATGTGTTTTGAGCCTCCATTTTGAGAAAAAGCAAACCTGAACTTCCCTCATCAGCACTTGGAGTGGGGGAGGGGCGCATAGGTCTTGTGGGGCCCGAATTTCGGGAAATGTGCCTCCATTTTGAGAAAAAGCAAACCTGAACTGGATGTGACCGCGTTGGTTGGCCCTGTGGATGGGAAGTATTTTTCTAAATATGGTATTGCTTCACTTAATGACAAAAATTGCACTGGTCTGTTGGACTTGAACATAAATAAACAATATTTTTGTTGCTTGAACTTATTATTCAGTGATTATTCAATGTAAACTAAAAATCCATGTGAAAAAAATTACTTAACTGTTCTCAGGTCAATTATTTATATGCGGTTAAAATGTGATTAATTGTGATTAATTAATTCCAAAGCCTCTAATTAGTGAGATTTTTATTTTTTATCGAGTCCCAGCCCTAATATATATATATATATATATATATATATATATACTTCTCTCAGTCAGCACATGGAGTGGGGGAGGGGCGCATAAGTCTCCTGGGGCCCGAATTTCAGGAAATGTGTTTGTTGCTTACAATTTGAGAAAAGCAAACCTGAACTTCCCTCATCAGCACATGGAGTGGGGGAGGGGCGCATAGGTCTTGTGGGGCCCGAATTTCAGAAAATGTGTTTTGAGCCTTGATTTTGAGAAAAAGCAAACCTGAACTGGATGTGACCACGTTGTTTAGCCCCGTGGATGGGAAGTATTGTTCTAAATATGGTATTGCTTCACTTAATGACAAAATATTTATTCAGTCATTATTCAATGGTAAACTAAAAATCCATGTGAAAAGAATTACTTCACTGTTCTCAGGTCAATTATTTATATGCAATTAAAATGTGATTAATTAATTATAAAGCCTCTAATTAATTAGATTCTTTTTTTACTTGAGTCCCAGCCCTATAACCCATATAACTCTCTCAGTCAGCACATAGAGTGGGGGAGGGGCGCATAAGTCTCCTGGGGCCCGAATTTCAGGAAATGTGTTTGTTGCTTACAATTTGAGAAAAGCAAACCTGAACTTCCCTCATCAGCACATGGAGTGGGGGAGGGGCGCATAGGTCTTGTGGGGCCCGATTCTAAGGAAATGTGTTTTCACTCTCTTCATATCAATAGTGTTCTGCCTGTGTCTGATGTCCTTTCCCATTATAGTTTTATTTTTTTATTAACCAAATAAGTTAGATTCTTGTAAATTGTCAACTGAAATCACAGTCACTATAAATCCCGGGAATCCCTTTTCCCAGGATTAAACCCTAGCCGCTGTTAGTGGGGCAAAAAAGTATTTAGTCAGCCACCGATTGTGAAAGTTCTCCCACTTAAAATAATGACAGAGGTCTGTAATGTTCATCATAGGTTCACTTCAACTGTGAGAGACAGAATGTGAAAAAACATCCAGGAATTCACATTGTAGGATTTTTTAAGAATTTATTTGTAAATTATGGTGGAAAATAAGTCTTTGGTCACTTGTCTGGCTCTCACAGACCTGTAACTTCTTCTTTAAGAAGCTCTTCTGTCCTCCACTCGTTACCTGTATTAATGGCTCCTGTTTGAACTCATTATTTGTATAAAAGACACCTGTCCACAGCCTCAAGCAGTCAGACTCCAAACTCCACTATGGCCAAGACCAAAGAGCTGTCCAAGGACACCAGGAAAAGAATTGTAGACCTGCACCAGACTGGGAAGAGTGAATCTACAATAGGCAAGCAGCTTGGTGTGAACAAATCAACTGTGGGAGCAATTATCAGAAAATGGAAGACATACAAGACCACTGATAATCTCCCTCTGGGGCTCCACGCAAGATCTCATCCCGTGGGGTCAAAATGATCATGAGAACGGTGATCAAAAATCCCAGAACCACACGGGGGGACCTGGTGAATGACCTGCAGAGAGCTGGGACCAAAGTAACAAAGGTTACCGTCAGTAACACACTACGACGACAGGGAATCAAATCCTGCAGTGCCAGACGTGTCCCCCTGCTGAAGCCAGTGCATGTCCAGGCCCGTCTGAAGTTCGCCAGAGAGCACATGGATGATACAGCAGAGGATTGGGAGAATGTCTTGTGGTCAGATGAAACCAAAGTACAACTGTTTGGTATAAACTCAACTCGTCGTGTTTGGAGGAAGAAGAATACTGAGTTGCATCCGAAGAACACCATACCTACTGTGAAGCATGGGGGTGGAAACGTCATGCTTTGGGGCTGTTTTTCTGCTAAGGGGACAAGACGACTGATCCGTGTTAAGGAAAGAATGAATGGGGCCATGTATCATGAGATTTTGAGCCAAAATCTCCTTCCATCAGTGAGAGCTTTGAAGATGAAACGTGGCTGGGTCTTCCAGCATGACAATGATCCCAAACACACCGCCCGGGCAACGAAGGAGTGGCTCCGTAAGAAGCATTTGAAAGTCCTGGAGTGGCCTAGCCAGTCTCCAGACCTCAACCCCATTGAACATCTGTGGAGGGAGTTGAAAGTCCGTGTTCACTGCTCTCGAGAAGATCTGCATGGAGGAATGGGCCAAAATACCAGCTACTGTGTGTGCAAACCTGGTAATGACCTATAAAAATCGTTTGACCTGTTATTGCCAACAAAGGTTATATCACAAAGTATTGAGTTGAATTTTTGTTATTGACCAAATACTTATTTTCCACCATAATTTACAAATAAATTCTTTAAAAATCCTACAATATGAATTCCTGGATTTTTTTTCACATTCTGTCTCTCAAAGTGGAAGTGTACCTATGATGACAATTACAGACCTCTGTCATTATTCTAAGTGGCAGAACTTGCACAGTTGGTGGCTGACTAAATACTTTTTTACCCCACTGTATAGGAGGATCTTTGTTTACACCCGCGTGCGCATGCGCCCCTCGCTGTGTGGCAGAAAGACAGAGCGGCCCATACTGAAACATGGATTCGAGACTACTTTTAACAGACTCAGTGGGCGAATAGCACTGTATAAAAGCCCTTTAACGCAAGAAGATCAGAGGAGATATAAAGACAAGCTAAAATTAAGTATATGAGACCGAACTGAACAAATCCAAAGCCCGTATGAGACCTGGGATGACGAGAGAAACATTGCTCAGACTCACCTCTGTTTTGGCACCAATCTGCTGGGACTGGGACTCAGAGACATTTATTGTTACTTCATAGAAAACCCGGGACCCTTCACTCAAGAAAGGTCCGTGGTGTAAATCCGTTTCTCGCGTTTTTCACCGCGGTAAAGTGGCCCGGCATTTTGCCACACATTAAAAGCTGGCTGCCCCCGTTTGCTGTTACTTACGGTAAAGGTGGAACAGGAAGCCGCGGGATTAGCGACCGGAATCCCCCTGGCTTCCTGTTCTACGTTTACCGTAGGTAACAGCATAAAAGGGCAACCACTTTACCGCGGCCGTTTTTCGCTGTTCTTTTCCGAAAGAATTAGAAAAAAACATTAATCTATCTCCAGCGGGCCGTGCAACAGACCATTTGATTTAGTAAAACCTCTCTACAAACGTTTAAAAATAGCTAACTCTGTAGCATTCAGGTAGCTTCCAATGCTGTCGTGCCACACAGACACGTGACCAGAGCGGAAAAACTATAAACAACGACGTCACTCCAAGATCCTCCTATATGTCTTGCTTGAGGATGCTCCAAAGGATCCGAATTGGAGAGGATGGGACTTGTCATGAGATGATCAACTTTTATGCCACAGCAGCCACTGATGCAGAGGTGTTCCTGCACCAAGACTTGATGCATTGTCGCATGAAGATGATTTTTTTTACAGAAAGCACAGCTCTTTTTTGTACCATGGATTGACAGCACGTCAAAAGTGCTACTCCATCCATCTGGACCATCCTCTACTCCATCCATCTGGACTGCTCTGAATCAGCCACAAATCTCTCTATGATGGTCATGCTTAATTACTTATGAAATATTGATGGTTTTCATGCCGAGACCAAGGAATTTAACTTTCAAGCTTTTCATCAGCTGAAAGATCCTTTTTATTCCCCATATTGCTTGAAAATAATGTAGAACATCCTTTTACAGGTGTTTTCACTTAATTCAATTCGTTTTGTAACGCCCAAAATCGCAGCAGCAGTCGCGTCTGAGGTTGTAACAAAAAATATCAATTCATTAACAGCAGAAAATCAAAAACAGTCGTACAGATGTCCTAGG